CAGGAAAGTACCCTCCCATCCTGTTCTGTGCTGTAGGAGACACATCGCTGGTACAAAAAAATCCTGTATACTCACATATTTGTTACTTGGAGTATTTAGAATTGCACAGTTTATTTCTCAAAATAATGTAGTGCTTTTTAGCTATTGCAGTGTGAAATTCCCAACTGATAAATGCAGGATGATGAGAGCTTGTTGCTCCGTTACCTTACGTGCTGTGTCATTTCTTTGTTGACCACAAGATCAAATTTGAAGTGCTCTGCTCCTTATCTTCAGTAGTGTCAGTAGATGGAGCTCAGGTGACCTTGGAGTAGGTCTGATCTAGCCTTCTATTTTTGGCTCTGTTCTTTAGGCTCAATGGAATTGTACTTTCAGTACTGAAAATTAAGTAGGGGGCACTAGTCCATGGCTTTGGAATTCATTTTCATAAGAGATTAGAGTCGCTACAAATCTCACCAATTTCAGGGGGGGAAAAAAACCAATAAAATCTCTTCTGGAAGCTTACATTCCAACAAGATGAAACCTTGTTTGTCAATAAAATATTACATTAAATGATAATATTTTCAGACTATTGCAAGCGCAGAATACAGCAGCTTGGAATAAGAGTGCCTCTTCAGCCATACTAAACTATTACCATCATAATTTACACTTATTTTGTACTTAATTTTATAAATCATGCCCTTCTCATCCATTCTTTTAAAATAAAATGCAAGTATAAATAATATTTGTGATACGCATATGTTGTTAAAAGCACAGTTTGTGCTTAGTAGGAAATTGATATAAATTTCTGTTCAATATGTTGGTTTTGGAATTGTCCCTGCATGCCTGTTTATTGTCCTGCAACATTACTCTGAACAGGCTTGAATTAAAGTAAACATTTATTCAAGGAAAAATTGTCTCATTATTTGCATAAAGTACAATGTCTTCCTTTCTTGCAGCATGAACAGTAGGTATCTAAGATGCAGGAAAAGTTTTTCTAAAGCACATTAGTGATGTGGAGATATAGTCCATCCAGCTGGCAGTGGTCTGCATTAATATAGGAAATGGGTTCTTTTCAAAGGTTGACTATCTTTGTTACAGTTACCCTAGCTGAAAAGACATTTTTTAGTTTAAGAGTAATTCAACGTGAAGAATAAACCATGCTGTCCCAGTATAAGCAACTGAGGGAGCAGATGACGACTTTAACACTAGCAAGCAAACTAAGAATTCACAGCTAAGCCAGATTATCTGTCTTCTTTCATGACAATACTAAGAACTGTAGACAGAGGAAGGAAGAGTTTCCAGCAGATTCCTATCTGAGTTTGAGTAGAAAAAAAAAGATGAAAGAAAACAGGTTGGGATGGCTGGAGAATTAGTTGGAAGAGGACTGGAGAGTTTGCTTTAAGAGTTAAGAGTAAAGGCACAGAGTTCATGTGCAGGGAGCCCTGAATAGCAATGGGAAACTCAAATTCTAGTTTTGCTGATCTCTCCTAAATAATAATAATAATGAAAGTTTTAAAAGGGAGAAAGAAACCAGAGGAACATGAAAGCATATGTAAGTTCATTGGCACTGGTAGTGCTTCAGGAGGTTATTTGTAGGCAGTGCATCTGATTCTGGAAAGTTAATATACTTTGACTGAAAAAAAAAATCTTTTATTAGAGGTCTTGGTTTTGTACCAGTACAAAGAACAGGCTATAGATTCTTCTATTTATTTCATCATCTTGCATCTTCTAAATTCAAGGTAGTCTGTGACTATTAAGATGTATATACAAGATGTTACTCAGATACTGAAACAAAATAGTATGCTTATTTAGAAACACTGTACATTTTAAGAATTCCTGTGTGCTATGCCTTTGCCTTGCATAGTGAGTGTACATAAGATGCTTTCTCAGCAGCTGAATAATTTATTGTGAGATAGTCTTTCAGAGGTACACATTAAAGTTGTGTGAATTGATGCCAGAAACTGAGGTTAAGTAACAGGCTTGAGGTTAAATAACAAGCACGCTGTTAAAACTATTGCACGCCTGTGTCAGTTGGCTGAATGCTAATTAAATATAGATGAAAACAATATAATGAACAGTTTTAAGCTGGTATCATGTACCAACACATTAAATCATGCAGTATTTTTCTTCTACTGCTTAGAGTAGACATGGATTTGCAGGTAACTCTCCGCTTATTTCAGCCAATGAGAGGTGTATAGGCAACAATTTTAAATTTTTATAGTAATATGCTATTTTTTTAAACTTTTTTATGGGTGGTTTGCTAGATAGGAAGATTAAATTTCACAGTAGTGGCTCTCTGCTGTCAACTTACTGACACCAACCTTAAATGTTTGGAATCCATTTCCTTGCTATGCAGTATGTATTGGGAGAGACAATATCCTAGAATGAATGCCCACGTATGTGTTGCTTTACTTCTTAGCATCTATGTCCTGAAATATATCTAGGAGTAAAAAGAAAGCACTAGAGTTCTTATTGAACTAGTATAATGTCTCTGTTCTCCATCTTGCTTGTAGTAGTCAGTTGCTTCTGAAGTTTCCATATGATTCTTCACTCATGGTCCTAACTGCAGTCACGTGTTTTAGGAATTGCATAGTCAGAGTTACTGTGGTGCATTTTATATAAATGACTGCATTTAGATATATTAGCACTTGATTTTTGACTGTTGGAGGAAAGATAGGTCTAGCAGCAATAGAAAAGCTGAGACTACCTTGCTATTGGAAGCTTGATGGATACAAGCAGTGGCAAAATATTGATGCAGTACGGACAGTCTATGTCAAGTTCTTCTTGTACTTCTCCAGCTTTCAAGTGTCATGTCTGGTAGAGCTGGGCATTTATTGCTTTGTTTGCTCTCATTCAACTCTTTCTTTTCAAATTTGAGGGAACACAGATGTGATACCAGCTGGTTATATTGGAAAAATAGGAAATACTCTGCATTCTGAGAAAATGGCTGATCAATTTGAGATGTTATTTCCAGAGTTTTCCCATTCATTACGAAGTGTAAAGAAAAATTTGTAACAGAAGAATGCAGTCTGAATGTGAAACTTTGTAACTTTTAAGATGGAAGACTTCGACCTGCACCTTTTCTTTTAATTCAGGAGCACAATCAATTTTTGTTTGATCAAAGTAAGTTAGTGGAATTGTTTGCTGCTCATTACTGCTAGAAGGCTATTGACCATCAGGAATCAAATTATAGTAATGACAATTTCAGGCTGAAGGCTTAAGAGAAGCATGAAGACACCAAAGTTAATTTGCATTAACAATCTTGACAGTTTCTAAAAGGAAAGATTTAATGGAAGAATTATGACTGGCCAAGCTACCAGAGTAAAGAATCTGTTCTTTTCCCCATTAAGTGCGAGCCTAACAATTAAATAAAGAGTAGCTAAGCTCAGCTTCTTCCATTAGGTACTTACAGTCCCCATTAATAAGGAAGCTTTTTTCTAGTTTTCATCTAATTCTTCTATTCCAGTGACACATAGACTGAAATGAAAATGTCCTGTTGCATTTCAAGAGATTGAGCAAGCACAACATCTGCCAAATCTCCTTGACAACTAGTATGTCCTTTTCAAGATAAGGATATTCTGTAAAATGGAAAACAGATTAATCCTGGATCCACTTGATCTTATCTTCAGAACATTCAGCCAGCTTCCCACATCGCCAAATGTCTGATTCTTTTTTTTAATGCTGAGTAATTAAATAATGGATTTTGGAAGGAGTTAATTAGAGAAAAGAGAATAATAATTCTGTTATCAAGGTTACATTCCAAAAAGAGCTTTAAAAGGTTTAAGTATGCCAGAACTTGGCCAGTATTCAGTATACGGTACAAAGTGAGCCAGAATTCCTCTAGCCTTTTATTTGCTTGATGACGCTAAAAGGTTAATGCAGTAAAACAGACAGATGGACACACATACAGAGAAACAAATACAGTTTGGGTTGTATTTTCAAAAATCTCTGGGCTCCTAAAGAAAGAGAAAGAGGATTTTCAGGATGTTGGAGATAATGGGAGTTAGCCTTCTAATCTGCTTATGACTTAAAAATTCCACTGCATTTCTGTTTAGGCACGTACTACTCCTGAAAACATGACTAGTCTTGAAAGTCTGTATCCTGAGGGTAGACATGACACATCAAAAAATTTTAGTTCTGTCACCCTAGTCTTTCAGTTTTGAGTGTCATTTGACATTATAGTAATAATACATGCTTTTTTTGTGAAAGCTGAGAGGTTTATTTTTTCTCGACTTGAAAAGTGATATCCTTGTTACCTGATGATAGAGAAGCAAAGACATTATGATCAGTCCATTATGGGATTTTCCTTAATTATAATTTAAGAAGAAATAACAGCTTAGTAGGGGAGGATAATCGTGAGTACCTAGGAATTCTCACAAGCTACAACGCTGGATGCTAATTTGTTCCGTAAGTGCACAGCTTTGTTTTCCCCAAAAGCTAATTTTTCCTTTGCAGATTGCTTTCACTTTGGGGGTTAATATGCTTTGTTACTGTAAAATCCAGACCCGCAACCAAAGAAACTATTGGAACTTTACATTTACTTCTTTAAAAATCTGAGATTTTGGAACAGTATTAGAGAAGATATGTGTATGTTATTGGCTGTTCTACCTTCTTTTGGACAGGAGTTAGAGACAGATTTTTTCCTTCCATCATTTTTAGTGCTGTCCTGTTTTCTTTTGTCATAACCGAGCCACAAAGCTGATTAAGGGGGTGGAACATCTCCCTTATGATGAAAGGCTGGGGGAGCTGGGTCTCTTTAGCTTGGAGAAGAGGAGACTGAGGGGTGACCTCATCAATGTTTATAAATACGTAAAGGGCGAGTGTCAGGAGGATGGAGCTGGGCTCTTCTCGGTGATGTCCAATGATAGGACAAGGGGCAACGGGTGCAAGCTGGAGCATAGGAGGTTCCATGTAAACATAAGGAAACACTTTTTTACTGTGAGGGTGGCAGAGCACTGGAACAGGCTGCCCAGAGAGGTTGTGGAGTCTCCTTCTCTGGAGATATTCAAAACCCACCTGGATGTGTTCCTGTACTCTAGGTGGTCCTGCTCTGGCAGGGGTTGGACTAGATGATCTTTTGAGTTCCCTTCCAACCCCTAACATTCTGTGTTTCTGTGAATAAATACATAACAATTTTTTTTGAGTTCTCATAGGCCTATTAGCTGAAATTGCCCTTTCATTAGCTTTGCTTACTGAAATGTGTGAGCTGCTTCTGAAAATAAGACTAGTGAGTTGTGTAGGTACTTTAAAAAACAAAGTGTATGCTATTTATATAATGTATCCTGTTTACATCAAATATAGTGTCTATGTGGATACAGTATCTTTATTTTAATAATAGATATATCATCCTTGCCTCTTTGTTATCTGAAGAAAACGTGTATCAAGTGAGTCAAAGAAAATGTGTTGGGTTTTTTTTCCTGATGACCATCTTTGAAATAAGAGCTTATATTATGTATTTTTAAATGGTGTAAAGTGATTACTGTTTGTCTTATATTTTGCTTCTAAACTTAAGTTTTAAATCAGTCTTCCTTGGCTTAAAATGTAAAAAAATCCCAGATATTTTTCCTGGTTATATAGAAGCTGTGTAATAGATCTGCCCTGAACCAAGCCTAACTGAGATCAGTGGAAATCTTTCTGTTGATGTTTGTGAGAGTTGGACCAGCCCTAAAGGCAAGAGGAGATGAAACGGAACTCTTTCTAGGGATAAGAAACCGCATCATTGTGATCATCATCAGGATGAAAGCAGTATTACAGCAATTCTCATCTCTTACTGTTTGTCAGTGAGTGTGAATTCTGCTCGTTTTGAGTTTGTTTCCATTTCTGACACTCTTGTATTTAAAGCTTGTATTAGTTGTATATGTTTATGCTATTTTCGACAGCATAACAGGTAGAAAGACAGGAAGACATTCAATACCGGCATGGACGAGAGTTCTGCTTTCCATATTGATATCTCTAATCTGTGTATATTGTTAAAAATAACTTTCTTCTCTCTTTAGGCAGGAATTTTCAGCATGAATGCATGCGAAGAGGGATTTGCCACTGGTGGTAGGGATGGCTGTGTTCGCTTGTGGGACTTAAATTTTAAACCAATTACTGTGATTGATCTCAGGGAAACAGACCAGGGATATAAAGGTAAAAAGAAGTTTGTCACTTTTGATATATCTATAAGGCAGGAAATTTACCAGTGTTATGGACAAGAGAAGACTAAATAAACAAAAAGGTTGTTTCATGTATGTTACTGTGAACAGTTTTCTAGGAAAAAAAAATTGATTGTGCCCACTAGTATGAAGGTCACATAGTCCTTCAAAGTCACTGTAAAACATACTATGAAGTTGTAGACACAGAGATTTAATTTTTTTTCTTTAAACCAATGAAATGCACATCTCTTCTATAGCACAGCAGTTTTTTAACAAGGAACAGTATTACTTTAAGAAAACTTAGAAGAGACAGTGAGATCTACAATGCGAAACAGTGGAGTACAGCAATTGTGTTTGCTCATTATCCAGACTTTCATAAAAACTATTTGGAAGTAATGTACAGTTTTGTGGTGCTTAGGTAAAGGTAAACAGTGTTCTATGACTTCAGTTAGAGTTCGTCATGCCAAAATTTTACATCTAGCATTCTGTAGTGTGTTTTGTCAGTGTTCTAGATATTGCTGCTGTAGTGATCCAGGAAAAGAACACAAACGTATACTGAAACACTAATGTCACTTAGAATATTGCTTTTGTTGGCATTTGGTTTTCTTGGCCCCCAGTCACTTTGTTATTTTCTAGTATCTTGCCAAGAATTTGACAATGTGGTAGAATGTCTGATGGCAATCAGATATTCAGGGTCAATAAATAACTGATTACAAGTTAGATTTTTTTTATTGTGTAATTGACTTGGCTTTCCCACCAATATTGTGAAACACTGCAACAAGATGGAAATGTTAAGTGCCCTGCGGTACCGTGACTTGTTTTAAATTTAGATTCTCAGCTGCTCTTTCTCAGCTCTGTTGCATGTAGTTGAAAGCTCTGTTTCATTCCCCATTTCATTCTTTCAAACTTGTTTTCTACTCCAGATTATCTCCTTTATTTTTGATGGAACAGACTTACCATGAACTCTTTTGGTTCTTAATCATTTATGTGAACTCCATCTTCATCTTTTTGACTTGTCAAATGCCCATGACAGAGCTAATAGCTTTTTAAAAATCCTGCCTTTAATAAATTCGTTTTCCTGACTCTCTTCCCTTTAGTCTTTTTTTCTTACTGTATTCTTCTGAGGATTGCCTTTGAGTCGTCCTTCTACTGGTTTTCTTAACTGCACTTTCTACTGCTCCTATAACTCACCTCTTGGTAATTTTATCCATGAACACAAGCTCAAGTTCTATGTCCCTGTGAATGGCTTGCAGAGCAATTAATTGACTCTAGATCTATCTCCAAGCAGTCAAATTGTTTTTCAGAATATCTCCCTCTGCTGTAAGAAGTTTCTAATTACTAGAACAGATGTCTTGATTGTCTTTCATCAAAGTTCTAGTTGTTTCTTTCTCTATTTTTTTAATCACTGTAGACAATATAACCATATGATGTCTAGGTTATAGAGCTGAATGGTAAGGTGGTTATATTCACCAGTGCAGCACAATAGGAACAAATCTGTAAAGCCAAATAGTTGGTGTGGAGGGTTAGAGTAGCACCGTATGTGTGCATTTTGAGGGCTGTTTGACAGGTGTTAGCGCTAGTCTTGTTCAGTGGACTGAACATTGTCTTGCAGTTGGAGCGCACTGAGTGCACTCCTGGAGCGCATCTTTCAGTTCTGTTTCATATGGAGGGAGTCTTATTTGTGCATTGGAAGGCCATCTCGTAATGCAAAGTATGGTAAGTAAGCACGACCAGGAGCTTTGCTTTAAAAGCTCGCTTTGTCAGAATTAAAACAGCAGTGCAGATGCACCAGACGGGCCTGCTAACCCACTCATTCACTCTTACCAAGTCTTGCCATTTTTTTCCAGTGTAAATTTAATTACATAAGGCTCTTGTTTTCCCTCTACAGAGTTAAAAATATTTCTCAGAAGCACATCAACTCATACCATTACAATATTCCTTTCTCTCATCTGATTGATACAATTCTGTCTGACACGTTAGTCCAGAGTAGTTTTTCAAAGATCATTCTTGAGCTATTCTTCACAAAAGTCAGTGTTTAGGCGAAGTGAATGAAGTTAGGCATTGCTACCATCTGGTTATCTACACCTGAAATAGTGCAACTCAGTTTTGCCAGTCAGGATATAATAAATACAGCCTGTTTTAAAAGATGCATATTCCAAAAATTTGGCACCTAAACCTGGATTCTCAGTGTACCACTGACCTAGCTTCTGTTTTATTATTCCCAACCTTACCTACAGATGGGTGCAGCCTGTGAGTGCTCAACTCCACTGTAAGCCTGCAAACTAATTCAGTTGTTTGAAATGTGTGTTAAATTCTGTCATGAACACTTTTCATCTCTTGGTTTCAGTTTGATTTATTTTTATTTTCTGTTTAGTGGGAAAGATAATTCCAGATACTATTAAGGGGTTACAAAGATTTGCTTTAGGGGGAGTACCTCAGAAACAAGCTGGGGAGAACTGGGCTCTTTGACTGTCTGACATATAATGTGTGTTCCATTGATGGTTCTGTCATATAATTTAGGTTCAACTAGCTAGTAAGATCCATAGTTTGATCAGAAATGTAATTTTGTATTTTCTGCTACCTTGAAATTTAAAGACATTAAATGCGTGTTTTCATATGCGAATGTCAGTATTGGCTTTCTCTGTCAGAGATCTTGTAATACAAGAACTGGCTACATGTCCTTTATTAAAATAATTCTCACACTTTGTTTTAGAATTTTTGCAATACTGAGCTTGAGTTAATGTTTCAAGGGCAGTATGTGTTATATAGAATAGATAAAAGGAGTAAATGGAGGAATAAGAGAAAGGTATATGGGTACTTCTTGACATTTTCTTGCTTTTATGTTTTGTTGTGTGCTGCATTACCTTTGTTTTGCAATCTCTCAGTAACAATCTCTTTTACAGGTCTGTCTGTAAGAAGTGTTTGCTGGAGAGGAGACCATATACTCGTTGGGACACAAGACAGTGAAATTTTTGAAATTGTGGTGCATGAGCGTAATAAGCCTTTCCTGATAATGCAGGGGCACTGTGAAGGAGAGCTGTGGGCTTTGGCTGTCCATCCTACAAAACCGCTAGCAATGACTGGAAGCGATGATCGATCAGTCAGGTCAACTCTTGTTTGTTTAACTGTGTGTGGTTTTAAACAAACAGCTCATTTTGTACATAACCTAATTGAAATGTATGCATTTCAAGGGTATTAAAATGTGGTGTTGAAGTGCTTCTGAACCAATTAAGTTATGCATGAAATTGGTGCTCTCGAGTAATAAAATATAGTGGAAATGTATATTTCTTAAAAGTGAAATGTATGGAATTTGAACAAATTTTAATTTAGCCTAACATTAAGCACTCATACACAAGTATCCTGTAAGTGTTTCCTTTTCAGGAATTATGTCAGACATTCACAGGTTATGATGAAAAAAAATTGTAATAAACCATACAATTTTTAGTCTTAACATACTTACTTTTTCACATGCTGTGAATTAACTTTTAGCTTGGGAGTTAAATCAAACTTAATGCATACATAGTAAATAGAATCTATATTCTGAGAAAACCCAGTAAATTGGTACCTTTTACAAGTTCATCTTTTTTGTCAAAAACACCTTTTCTATTCTTTCTTAGAAATTAAATTTGTTGGCATTTTTGTTAAATATCTTGAGTGTAGTGTGGTTAAGCAAAACAGTAGTTGAATTATGAATATTGAAATAATGCTCTAGAATCCCAGATGTAAATGATAGATCTTGTAACGTATCTTGTAGTGAAAACTTACATGTTATAATATTACCTAGTTATATGTAAGGAGTTATGAATAATGACTGTTTAATAGAAAAAGATATGTTTACTGAGCAAAGTCTTTAATTGTTCTTTAATGTTCTTGGCTAAAATGATTAGCAAAATAGTGGAATTTTCAGAGTGGTCTAAAAGTATACATTGTCATTCTTTTATGTTCATAAAGTCAAACAAAATTAATCTACCCCTGCATTTTCTCATTAGATATTTTCTCACTTTTTTTAAATGTAAGAATATTATTTTCTGTATGCAAAATTCACCCTTTTGTCTCACATTTTGCTTGTGGAAAATTATTTTAAAATGGGACACTACCACATTGAGCATTTTGCAGAAATTGTAGATTTCATGCTGTTTATGACACAGCTACAAATCACTCCTTACATTTGTAATTATTACTGTATTTTAGAATTTGGAGTTTAATAGACCATGCTCTGATTGCCCGGTGCAACATGGAGGAACCCATTCGCTGTGCTGCAGTTAGTACTGATGGAATCCATCTCGCTCTTGGAATGAAGGATGGCTCTTTCACTGTGCTTCGAGTCAGGTATGTTACAAAACTTGAAACCAGATACGTTATTAACTTTTTCAAGCTTTTTATCTAATTGGTTTCATAAATGCTACCTATATTGACACTGTAGTGACCATACCTGAGGAGATCACTTACATTTCTGTTTTAAATTACTGATCTTGAGGGGGCTCAGATTTTTTAAATATGTGTGCTTACATGTGTTTATGTTGTTCCATAGCAACACATTTGAAAAAGTATGTTGGTCTATTTACAAAGAATGACAGTGTTCTAAGAAGTGTTTTACTTTAGGTTTTAGCTTTATTAATTATTCTTGAATTGTTAAGAAATAAATTTTCATCACTTCCCAAATTGTTTCCATGTGTTGTAAAGCTACTGTCAGCACATCATGCATACAAAGACAGTGCTGCCTTGTTGCTGTGATCCCACGGTTTTAAAGGGAAAATGAGATATGTGTCTCATATCAGTGACGTTTTCTTTCCTGAGTGAATAAAGATCTGGTAAACTACCTGACTAATTTTTTTGTGGACCCAGCTTGAACGGTTCCTTTTGTTTGCTTTCCCTCAGCCCACTGCAGCACTTTTTTGTGTCACTGTTCCCTTCTCTTTTTTTACGGCCATGAGTCCCTACCCAACTGTAAAAATAGCAGTGTCGTGTTTGCACAGATAATAGTAAAGTTCACTTCATCATTTCACAATTTTTAAAACTGGGAACTTGGCAGTATGATAAGGCTGTTCTATACTTATGGCATGCTTTCTTTCATACTACAGAGATATGACTGAGGTTGTTCATATCAAAGACAGGAAAGAAGCTATTCATGAACTGAAATATTCACCAGATGGGAATTTCCTAGCTGTTGGTTCCAATGACAGCTCTGTGGATATCTATGGTGTTGTTCAGCGATACAAGAAAGTTGGGGAATGTATTGGATCTTTAAGTTTCATCACCCATATGGATTGGTCTTCGGACAGTAAATACTTACAGACCAATGATGGCAATGGGAAGAGACTTTTTTACAGAATGCCAAGTAAGATTCTGAGTTTCCTTTATGATATTTGTTGCTTACTACAGAAAGAATGTATAGTGGTTTTGTAAAAACAGGCAAATATAAATCCTTGTTAAAAGCACTGAGTTATAGAGAGATTTTGTCTAAGTTCGTATAAATATTTGCTATATTTAGATAAGTGCATCATTTTCTGGCAAAGTTACTTAAATATTTTTATCGTTATGTTTATCCTTTATAGTGCATCTTTTTATGAAGAGATGCTGACTTAGAATTTATTTCTCAAAACTAAGTCTTTGCTCGCACTTTTTTAGGTAAAGAAAAATACTGCATTCAAATTCAGTTTTGCAGTAGCTTAATAGCTTTGTGCTTACCAAGCTTCGATATTAATGCATTATCATTTGCTTGTGCTGTATGTTTTTTGAAATGTGTGGAAAAATCAATATGTTGCATCTTGGAAGAGTCATCTGGTTTTCTAGAGCTGTGTTTGCAGTGGAACTGAGAAATTTAACTTAAAAGAGCTTTTACAGTGAGAAATTTGTAATAGAAACAATCCAAATGAAAATGAATTTGGAAGTATAATGGGATTAAGTAATTGAAGAGAAAATAAGAGTACCTGATACAAGGATGCCAGAATGTTAGGAATTACTCACTGGAAACAAAAGAAGTATCAAAGCTGTGATACATATATGATTCAGTCATGCAAGCTTCAAAACGATTAGAAATATCAAAGTGAAATTAGCTGGGCAGTCTACTGATAACACAAGTTCAAATGTCTTTTTTTTTTTTTTTTTTATGGCAGGGGAGTATCAAAGAAAATTAGTATATTACATATTAAAATACAGTTTTCAGATTTGATGTTTGTGACAACCCCATTATTGTAAATATTTTCAACACTGTCTTGAAAACTTGGCTGGCCTGTTCCGTACTCTTAAAACAGTTTTTATCAGGAGAATTTCCTCTGCAGAGGACATATGCACATAATATGTGTATCTTAAAGCTTCAAATTTAGGTAGTCCTGATTACAATATGTCAAGGGCAGTGTTTGTCACAAGGTTTGACTTGCTGCTTCTGTATGTATACACTTTACATAATATCATTCTGTATTTTTCCCACTCATCATATTTGTGTGTCATCACCACTTACTGTATTATCCCTTCATTTGTTATACAATATTATTGCTTTGCACATTATTCATAGTTCCATGGAGCTTTTTGTGACTGTCTTTGCTGAAGCATCTAATTCATTCTCTGCACAAATTTGGTTTTGCACTGAATGAGACAAAGGATATGTAAGAAAAGTTAGCAAGTGAGAATTTAATTGCTGTAATAAATACGTCACACGGGAAGAGCAAGTTCAAGTTATATAGGCAGATTTCAGCCTGGAGATTCTTAATATATCAGAATGTGGGATTATGAAAGCTTGTTTATGAAAAAAGTTTAGCAAAGTCAGTGGAGTTAGAGGAATCTCCTCAATATTTCAAAATAATGATTGAAATCATACAACGCTTGAAATTCTACGGTAACTTGAGTAAGGAACTTACAGTTGGCTAATACAAGATCTGTAGGACTTAGTCATGGATATAACCAGTATTAGTAGTCATCGTTTACATGGATTAGTGATTGAAAGAGATTACAAGGTAAACCTTGTCAAAGGGTGCAGTTACTCCATCAGAGCTGAAGGATCTTCAAACACAGCATTTGAGTTCCTTTCCATTTTTTGGAGGGATATATAATAGTTAAACTTTTCCTTCAGTGTGGTGGGCTTTTTTAGTTGTTGGGGGGGGGGGTGTGTTAATTTTTTTTTTCAAAATTTTTTTTTAAGTTTTCCTTTCTGATTTATTTGCCATTTTGCTTTATCTTTTCTCTATGGCTGTTCTTTACCCTGTTTATTCCAGTCTACTTGAGTTCTCCCTTGCCCTCTCCCTCTGTTGAAAACTTAGCTCCTCATAGTACCTGAGGCCGATCCCATCCCATCCCACTAGTCAGAATCCTATAAACAGTAAGAAAACAGGAAACAGCCCAGCACAGTTGCCTTCAATTTTGTTACCACTGAAGACTGAGAGGTGAATTGTTGGCAGTGTCCTGCTCCGGTTCTGCAGCTGCACTCTCAGTCTGCTTCACTGCTGTTACATTTGCTTGCATTGTTCTTGTGTTGCTCCTGCACTCTGCTTCTGGCCATTCCTGGAGACACAGTATTTATTAAACAGGCCTTTGGTCTGACTCAGTGCTAAAGTTCTTATGTGAAACTTTGCGGGATTGGAACAATCTTACTACAGGTAGAGGTGATGTGAAATAATGTAACAAGGATCTAAGCATAAAACTGGTATTTTCAGTAAGTTACAGTGACCAGATCTAAATTAGTTCTTCAGTTTATGCTCTAAATAATCCAGGTTTTTAGAATAGTTCAGCAACAGAATTATTCCAAACTTTATCTTAGAATGGCTACATATATTTTTTGATAAACATTTAAAAATAACACAGTCTCAAGTAGATATCAATAAATAAGAAAAACTGTAAAGTACCAAACCCATGATCTTCTGTTAAGTAGTCTTGAGAAGCCTTACTACTGGCACTGTTGGTCATAATAGAGAATATTAGATCAGGACAGTTTTAGAAGTCAGTTTTTAATTCTATCCTGCTTGGATCTGATTCCTGGAGAATTTTTAAAAAATTTACATTCTTTAAAATGGCATAAGTGAATATTGAAAAATAGCTCTTTATTTTTGTTCTTAGGTGGAAAAGAAGTAACAAACAAGGAGGAATTAAAAGGCGTTCAGTGGGCATCATGGACCTGTGTCTCTGGCCTTGAAGTTAATGGAATCTGGCCCAAATATTCAGATATAAATGATATAAATTCCGTGGATGCAAATTTTATTGGGCAAGTTATGGTTACAGCTGATGATTATGGAATAGTAAAGCTCTTTCGATACCCATGTCTAAGAAAAGGTAGTACCTTTAAGTTCAATTATAAACATATATTTTTTAATTTTGATTATTCAAGAAAAACGTTTTGGAAAACTGGGCTTTTGAAAATTATATAAATGGCCAATATTTAGTCTTAGAAGTTTAGTTTGAGCTCAGAGGTGAAAAACAATAATAGGCTGGTATATTGACAACTGTAATAGCTACTGTATTTTATTTGCATTTTGAATAGGATAGCCAAAAGTTTTACATATGTTTTATTTTGTAAAATAGAGTAGTTCGTTGTTTGGTTTTTTTTTTTGACTGAATTTTGTGAGGTGATGCAATATCTACCCTTTCGTGAGATACATATCTTTAAGTATTTCACCTTGGTCTTCAAGTAGTTTTCTTCCTTCCTCTGGATCTGTGATGGAGATTTGGGCTAGGAACTAGAAAAAATAACTTTACTAAATTATTAGGGGCAATAAGTAAGTGAAAGGCAAATTGGTCCTGTAATCAGAGCGTGCCACTGTGTGTTATTTGAAGTCTGGAAAATTTTCCAACACGTTTTTCCTCAAAATTTTGCTAGCAATAAAGACAAATCTCATATGAAATTTTTAAAAATGAAGCTTAAAGCAAGGTATATAATTTTCAAGTTTACTGTTCAGGACTGAGGAGAGATGTATATTTTTTTTAGATGAGAAAGGCTTCAATTTTCAGAGCTGTTTGAAGAACTCCATTCGAGACACCATTCAAGTTGAACTGTAACAAATTATCAATAGCAGAGATCTCAGTCTTCGAGCTGGTAACATGATGATGTTCAGAGAAAGCCTGTGAAATGTTCCCTAGCTTTTAAGAAGAGTTCTCTTAACCTGAAAAGTTTGCCTGGGACTAGATCAGGTCTCTAAGTTTTGGAAGGGGAAACAAAAATTTACACCGTTGCATCATTGCGATTTGCAGCATTGCATGTTTAATGTTGGCTACAACTGCGTGATATTTGTGATGGGTCTTAGGGTATGTCTTAAAGCAATATGTGCTTAAAGAAATTTTTTTTTTTTTAAATGGATGATATTCCTCCATAGTTTTTTTCAAATCTTTGTAACAGGTGATATTAAAAAAAATTAATTTCAGTCTTTCCAGTTGTATTTTTAGTGATAAGGCTTTTATTGATATCTGAGGTAATCCAAAAAGATATTCTTGAAAACAGTCTTCTGTCCATTTGAAGGAAACTGAATTTGTTCCTTTTTTATCCTCCATTTTGCACTAGAATTATGAAAGCAAAGAAAAGGCACAAGAATCGTAATAATGGATTGCTGCTAGGGACTTCTTTTTAGTAACTGATCCAATGTTTGTGTTGTAATTATGTAGTAGTCAGTGAAAACTTTAACTTGATATAGTTATACTACTGCTACTATCACTACTACTACTAAAGATGCGAGGATATGAATTGCTAGAAGTGCTTAGCGCTCAAATTGCACAGCCAGCACACATATGGGGGTGTTTTCACAGAGCTAAATATACATCATTTAACATTTAAATAAATGCATCATTTCAATGTAGATATAATAATTGGCAAGATCTTGGTTTGTAAAAAATAAAATAAATACAATAAAAATTTGAAAAATCTTCCTTTAGTACACCTCCCACAGCACTGTCATACGTCTTCTCTTCTTGAGTTTGACTTGTTAATTTGATGTATCCTGGAATCCAAATTTAAACATTTATCTTAAAGACAGATTAAAATTTTGGAATACTGGAAAAAGTTGCTGCTATTAATTAAAATCTAACTAGTAATTAGAATATCTTAATTAAACTATTAGTTTTTATAATGGTTTCTTGATAAGTTTTCCTAAGGTGCTTGTGAAACATTTATTCCACGTATATTGAAAGACATTTTTATTCTTCTTCTAGGAGCAAAGTTTAAAAAATACCTTGGTCATTCTGCTCACGTGACAAATGTCAGATGGTCACACGATCACCAGTGGGTTGTTTCCATTGGGGGAGCTGATCATTCTGTCTTTCAGTGGAAATTTGTCCCTGACCGGAAATTGAAGGATTCACTTCATATAGCACCCCAAGGCAAGTAATTTACTGAAAAATGATGACAACAACAACAAAAAAAAAAGTGGGGGGAGGGGAGGCTAAAAGGGAAGTAAAATTCTTTGGTGAAAGTAAAGAAAGAAATATTCAGAGTTGTCAGTCTGCACAAAATTGTTGTTCTTTAAACTTTGCAGCTGCCTGAAGTACCTCTTAGCATTGCCTAATACTTGTCTCTACCCTGTATGCTCAGTCTAGCAAGATTGTGAAAAAAATTCACCACTGTTCCTGTGCAAAGACAGAATTTAAAAGTTCAGGTCATAGATAGGAATTTATTAATTCTGTACATGCCATACTTTACTACAATTGACAACAACTGGATGCCCAGATGTCACTGGAAAAAAAGATGTATATACTCCTTTGATTAAAATTTTGAAGTATTTAAATGATAATTTAAGCACTGTAATTGATTTTTCATTTTTGAAGCAGACTATATGTGTTTAATATTTGGAAAAATAAAATGTAGATCATGTTTCCACCAGTGACTAATACAGCAATTATTCTCATGACTGAGTTTCCCCAAATCAAACAATTAACTGAGTGCCTCCTTGGAATTTCCTAAAGGAGTTTAGTGTCCTTTGGGGAAACGGGTATAGAGAGTTACAATGAAATCGGCTGTTTCACCCTTTAATTGCTAAGATGTATCATTGACCCAGCTAACGGGTCGATGAATGCTCATTCAGTGCTGGCCTTGTCAGTGCCAAATACAGAGAGAAGCAGTAGTTGTCTTCATCTCCTTGAAGCCCTTAAAGCCTTTAACTGATTTGATCCTTCACGGTGTGTATGGATTCATATTCAACTAATTATTTCCCATGACCCAAATTTCTCATTAGCTGCTGCTTCCCAGGATAAAATTTCTACATATTAAGTGTTGTTTGGATTCCTTGTTCCTGGATACATATCCTTACTTTTGGCTATCTGACAGTATGTGCAACATACATCTGTTTTGTCGCACTATTGGTAATTGTCCTCTTAATGGCTTTCCTAACTCTGTAATCTGGTAGCTTTATCAGTAGCAATATTGTTTTTCTCTAGATCACTGATAAAAATGTTAAGTAGTATTGCTCCAAAGATTATTGCATATTTCTAGAAACGTTTTTTTTACTGACTGGTGATTCTCGCTTTGCAGTTACACTTCGACATCTTTTAAAATCCATTTGTGTTTTAGACTGATTTTGTGTCTGGTTTCTTAATCAAAAAACGTGCAACATTCAATCAAAGGTTGCAGAAAAATCCAAATGTATTATCATTTATCAGCCAGGACGTTGTTTTCATTTCTGTTGGAATGAAACTCTGTGCTATAACATTATTTAGATTTCCCCGATGTAAAGCAGAAGCATTAAATGACTACGCTTTTTCTCCACAGTCACTGAAAATTTTACCGCTTCCTTCCCATATATGAGATTTTTTTTTTTTTGATAATCTGCCTGAAGAATTGCTACTTGCATCAATGCTTACCTAACCATAAGTTTCTCTTTGGAGCCTTTTACTTCTCTTCTTAGTTTTCAGCAAGTCTTAGTTTCTGCTTTATACTTATTGCTTCATTCTCTTCTTTCTTCCTTTCCTCCTAACATTAATGTTGATGAAATAAATTTTATGTATGAAAACCAAGTTGCTCCCAAAAACAAACAAACAAATTATCATACTTAGAAGTTGGCTTATTTCTACTGTATCACAGAATTGATCCCATCAGCCAGTCAATTATTAGCAGTTTATGTTGTAGTTAATATAAGCATTATTTATCAAATCAGAAATACGGAGCAGTTACTTTAAACACTTTCTGGTCTGTAATTTAGGTTGCTTCATTTTCTGTTTGTTTTATTGGTGACAGAAAGTCTGGTTGATTCTAATAGTGATGAATCAGATTCAGATCAATCTGATGTTCCAGAGCTGGACTCTGAAATTGAGCAAGAGACACAGATCACCTATCGTCGACAGGTAAAGATTGCAGTTTTAATGGCAGTTGGCATGCTTCCCAGGGTTTAAGTTGGTCTTTTATGTTGACATCTGAAAACTGGGGAGACTGAGAGCTGAGTAGGAACTGACCAAAACTTTTAGAATAGTTACCTGATGCGTTCAAAATATTAAGATACAATAGAGGAAAAGAGTGATTACATGTATTTCTAGCATGTTCTATTACAGTTTTAGTTGTAATTTAAAAACAAGTTGCACTATATAATAACCAGCTACAGTTATTGGAGATTTTTTCAATTATGTCAGTGTAACATTTTTGTCCATGGTAACTGTGGATGAATTCTCAGAAATATGCTTTTCTTATGAATCTCCTAATTTATAAATGTGCTCTTTCTTAAAGGTTTACAAAGAAGATCTACCTCAACTTAAAGAGCAATGCAAAGAAAAAAGAAAAAGTGCAGCTTCTAAGAGACGAGAGCGAGCTCCAGGGAACAGTATAAGATTGCATTTTGTTCATGGGTATGAAAACTAGGATTCTTTAAAATATACAAGCAGATTGTGTTTTGTAGATTGGTGTTTATATTTGAATAATCTGATGAAAGATTTTTGGGTCAGTTGCTTTGATATTTACTGTTTTGATTTATTTCTGTAAAAATAAATTTACACTAAATCAATAGAAAGCTTTGATGCCAAGCTAGACTAATTCTGAACATGAATTCTGAAGTGAATTTGCACTGAAAGTTTAGATGATACTTATTATTTGAATAGAGGTGACTAAATATAATATTTGGCTCTCATCCATATTTTTCAGTATCTGGAAAGTAACAGTTCTCTTTGGTGTATTAATTTGGAAAGTACGACAGAAACTTGGTCTGCTTGAAGATGACTGGGTTTTGTACTGGTTTATTTTTAAAAAAAAGCATATAAACTGTACCTAATCTGAAACAATTTACACATTCCTCTGTTTAGAAATTAAACTTAATTATTGATAGGGTCTGTAAGTGTGTAAAATTTGGTTTCATTCTCTTTTTGGTGCTAATTTATGTAACAAAGTGACTTTCGGATGGATACTTGAATCTTACGATTTCGTCTTTAGGATTAGTAGTCTCTCGTAAATCTTCCTAAGTGAAGACTTTTTCATCAGAACAAAGATGTGGTGTTTTAAAGCAAACTGGCAGTAGATGTTACTGCATTAGAATAATGATTAGAAATTAAATTCCCTTGATACAAAGCAAAACCAGAGCCTTTATTAAATTAAGGCATTGGAAATTGGTTAATATTATGTTTTCCTTTCAAAAGATAGCTCTTTGCAGTAATACAGCTACTTTTTAGAGATAACTAAATGCACAGATAAGTTATTGATACTGTGTGTCTTTATAATGATACTTAAACAATTTTAGAAGGGCTCCACATGGAATGCTTAATAAATTAATTGCCTAAAAATAGTTAATAATTCAACTCAGCAGTTTTGTCTGTAGAAGGCATGGAGTCTGAGGAATAGCTTTAGAAATAATGGCGACTGGGAAGCTTGGTACAGAGTTGGGTGTTTTTATTTCTATTTTTGATGCTCCAGAATTTCTAGTTGAAGATTTTTGTATCTGTGTAGAAAGTGCATTAGAGGTGGATGGCTGTATGTAGTCTTTAAAACTGGGTCTAAGAATCAAACCAAATGATCCTGAAGAAGATGTAGCACAAGGAAGGTCCCTGGATCTTTGGGATTATTGTTATTTCCTTCACAACAGAAGTGAAGCTTGACCAGAATATCCAGGAATGACCAGAAGTAGAATATCCAGTTGAGTTCTGTCTGGTTACCCAATGAGCATCAAGGAAACTAATGAAGAATCCATGCTGAACAACAGATTTTTCTCAGTGTCCAGGCTGTTAACTTTAAAGTGACCCACATCCAAGTGAGTAATAGGCCTGTTCTCTGATTCAGGAAGTCTGCTTTGCTTCATCTTTCTTTAGCTGCAATGGAAATGTCTTTGATGTTCCTTGGAAGTGTAAAAAGTGGTGCTTTTTTGAACTAAGGGAATAGGAAGCTCTTTTTCCTTTCTTTGTTTTTGAGCGCGTTGGTTTTGTGTTTTGAATTTGTCAACTTCCTTGAAAGATAAACTTTAAAATCTCTTCATACCCTGTAAGAAAGCTTTTAAACCACCCCTTACTTCCCCTTTTGGAGGGGGATAAAAACAATAGTGCTGAATATGTAAGCCAGCCGCCAACTAGTACGGATGAGAAAGCAACTTCTGTTAACAGGTTAATCTTTAAGGGCGTCTTTCTGTAGGAGATCTGATGCAATCATGATCAGAAACAGGTTTTTAAAGTGGTGTGCTAGTTTGGCCTCTTTTTGACTATTCCTGCATTTTCTTTCTGGCATGTCTTTGACAGCGGTGGTGGTTCAGAAACATAAAAAGGGTGCATCTTTTGACGTATTCAGAGGAACCCCTTTCTCAGACTCAATGGTTTTAATCCTTTCTTTTTGCTGGCAGAGAATAAAGATGCAAATACAATACTTATGTCTCTCAAAGCTATGCTGCTAATCTCAGAAGAATGATTTTTTTTTATTATTTTTTTTTTTTTTTTTTAATATTCAAAGGATTTAAGCAAAATCTAGTTTGAGTTTCAGGATATTCATTGAACTGACCTGATAATAAGATTAAATTTGGTTATGGTTACAAGATGACATGGGATTTCTCGTGCTCTTAAGTGGGTCTTACGACACCTTGCATGGATTCCTACCAAAGGGCCACAAATACCTGCAAATACCATATGAAGGGATTAGGCTATGAGTGTCCTGTTGAGAAAACACTACTGCCATACAAAAGTTTTTTGTTGTTGTGTTTTGTTTGGTTTGGTGTTTGTTGGGTTTTGTTGTTGTTGTTGTTGTTGTTGTTAAAATATCTCTACCTTTGTGCTAAAGATTCTGACCTCAACCATGAGTTTTTTGACATTTGGTTCTTCTGTAGATTTTTGGGAGAGGGTTGCTTTATGTTTGGAAATTTCTCATATAAACTTTGAAGAGTAACATACAAATTTTGAAACTCTTACAGCATCAGAGAAACTATGCACATTGACTGTTTTCCCAGAGAGGACACTGCCTGTGAAGTTGCCCCTTAGTTGGCTATAGATGTGTAACTTGCAACTGTGGGTAGGATCCAGCTTCAGGGTAAAGAATTTACAGTTGTGTGCCTAAAAGTAGGTGGTTTTATGTGTGTATCTAAACTTCCATCATGGTCAATGGAGATCCAGTCAGTAGTCTGTGGAGCATAAGGAGTGATTTGGCTTAAGTAAAATTAACTGCTGACTGGTTGGTCAGCTGAGTAGCCCTGCAGGTTCCATTGACTAGAACACTGTTGATTAAAATATAGGCATTAATGTATCTAGCACATATGTGAACACCTACGTTTACATGTCTAAATCTCTAACTGAATCCAGTCCTGGCTCTTCATGACCTTGGTAGTGGCAAAATTTTTATTCCTACATAGTATTGCCGTAGCTGTCTTTTCTTCCAAAACTTGCTGTCATATGGAATCAGTCCTGGATTGGTGGTGTGGTTAGCTGTTGCTGAAGACCACGTGAAAACATCAGCTATTACAGAACACAGTGTTACGTTTATTGTGTCCTGTTATATATTATCCAGTAGTTCTGATGCAGATCTTGCTTTCATTATTACTTAGTTTCTCGTTAGTAATCAAGATGGCTTGTAAATTACTTCTGTAGTTTGTTTTCTGCATGCAAAGAAATTGTTTCTCTTTGTGCTTTTTCTAAGCTAAGCTAATAATCTCAGTTCTAAATTAGTTTAATAATAGGAAGATGTAAGCGTTTTGGAACTCTAGCATATTCTCAGGGAATGATCTTCCACACTGAAACATGCTTCTTTTTATCTCTGCTTGGACTGTCTAACTAAGCCCATCGCTTTGTCCTTCTGGTGAAAAGCACCTGTATAGTCAGGGAGTTAGAAAACTGACATATGGGAAAGATCAGACTTGTTTAACTGGGTTACGAAATGTCTTTGCATTGCTTGATATTTTGGCAAAATATGTTTTCTTTAATTGTGAACAACTGATTGTACACCATTTTTTTTTTTTAATAACTGAAAGTGAACTAAAATCTGAACTTCTGATCATAAAAAGGTATAGATATGAGTAATAACTATTTTCTTGCATCCTAGATATATTTTGGATCTTTTGGGTAGTCCTGTAGAATATGGCATTAGTGTACTCAGTTTCACTATGCTTAACCTAGGATATATACGCAATTGTTATGACAAGAGCTGGGAAAATGCTGAATTTCTGGGTTGCAGGTAGAAGGACCTGAGACACTTTTGCTGTCTTAATGCTTTTTACTTTTACAGCTGACTACTAAGCTTGTAAAAAATTGCTCAATGTCCAGTATTTCTAAAGCATTATTTCTTTCAGCATACATATTTTCGAAGCTGCTTTTTAGAGTACTCATTTAGGGGACATAGTCAACATTTTTTTTAATTATTCTGCACTTGCAAAAGAAATCCAGTATTTCTAACAGGGCACAGTGCAAGGTGAAGCACAGGAAAATGATGTCTGAGCAATGATAGGTTCAGAGATCTTCTTTGGCACTGTGCCTGCCTTTATAATCCCTGCCCCTCACTGAATGTTGTCATGTCCTTAAACTGTTGATGTTGCATACTGTGATAGGTTATTTTTGGTTTCTTTCTTAATGGTTACTGTAGGTTATTGTATATGATTTTGCTTAAAAAACTAGTAGCTAGTCTTGAAAGAAGGGTGCAGCCAGGCAGGCAAGCAGGCAGCACTTTGGGTCAGACAGAAATGAGCTTCAAAACATCTGCAGATGTTGGTGCTGGGGAAGTTGTAAGTGAAGGATCTGGGTGGAGGGAGAGCAAGCATCACTGAAGAGTCTGCACCTGTATTGCAAGTCTAAATTGTTGTTTACTTTGAGAAGAGCAGGGAGTAGATACATAGATGAGCCCCAGACCTAATGGAAAGCAAAGGGGTTTTTTAAGAGGTCTTGAAGGGACAGTAGCTCAGGAGACAATGAAAAGTTGCTGCACTGGGATCAAACCTGAAGTTGAGAACCTGCTTGCAAGTACCAATCTAAACATAAGGTTGGAGGGAGACTTATTTAAAAGCTTTTATTTCCGTGCTGTTTCAGTTTTTGCTTGTTTAAGAAGTTCACTTTCCTTGTTTGTGATCTAATGAGACCCAGCTTTGGACTTCACAGTATTGCAGACAGTACAAAACTGGCTGCACCAGATGGCGGTGCTGCCATCGAGAGGCACTGGGCAGACAGGAATCTCGTGAACTTCAAAATGGGGAAATGCAACATTCTGCATCTGGACCTGGACCATCTGCTGGTCTGTTTAAAATTTTTGTGAGAGGATTTTAGCAATTCTTCTCTAATCACATATGTTCTGACAGAAGTACTGTTGCATGTAGTGTAGGTGAACCAACAGAAATACAGCGTGTTCAAACCTGCTCCAGGTATGTGCTGTGGTGTTTTCCGGTAATGCATAGGTCTAGCATTTGTGAACATGGATCCATGGCTGGAGTTCTCAGAATAGTATTCATTAAGCTAAAGTTGGTCAGCTGTTTTAAAGATTCATTTCTTGACTAGTGCATATGGCTGCACCGTGTATGCAAGGAAAGCTATGTATAATTTTATGAAAGACTTTCATACCTGAACTGCATAATTTCTGTGTCATTTAAACCTTTTTAAGAGTCTCTCATGCAGTAATTGTCTTAATGCTGTGCCATTCATTTTGTGCATGACACTTACCAGTGTGTGTACAGACACATCGTTATCTTGCATGATAATTTAAAGACCTGCACTCTTGCCAATAGTTCCTGCGTTTGTTTTTTTCTTAAAAATAATCTAATTTGTTCTGATGATACACACTTTTAATTAAGCAAAGAAATAAATATCATGAGAAGTCTAACAAACATTAGAGATTTCTGTTAGTTTGTAGTTGCTGATGGTGAAAGTTCAGTTATTTTGTTTGCCAAGAATGACTTACTGATCATCTTCAGGGCTTTTTTTCAGCTAGTTCAATTAGAAGTTGAGTGCAAAAGTACTTAGGTAGAGCCTTATGATCCCTAAATAAAGATGATGCGTGGCCAATTCAAACACTTTCAAGTGCCATTCCCTTCCTGTAAATTTAACTGTATATTTAGAAATGTAATTGGGTTTTGCCTGCATATTTGTAAAATAATTAAAAGGTGATTTAGTGAAGATCTGTAAGAACAGAAGAAGGAACAGAAAGAGGTTAGCTGGGGAATTAATAGCACAGAAAACAGGATGTGTCAGGAGTATATGGAGTATTGTTTATACCAGAAGAAAGGAAGGAATGAATTGGTGAGGCTGCACCTCGAATACTGTGTGCAGTTTTGGGCCCCTCACCACCACAAGGACACTGAGGTGCTGGAGTGTGTCCAGAGAAGGGCAACGAAAGTGGTGAAGGGTCTGGAGGACAGGTCTTATGAGGAGCAGCTGAAGGACCTGGGGTTGTTTGGTCTGGAGAAGAGGAGGCTGAGAGGAGACCTTATCGCTCTCTACAGCTGCCTGAAAGGAGGTTGTAGTGAGGTGGGGGTTGGTCTCTTCTCCCAAGTAACAAGTGATAGGATGAGAGGAAATGGCCTCAGGTTGTGCCAGGGGAGGTTTAGATTGGACATTAGGAAGAATCTCTTCACTGAAAGGATTGTCAAGCACTGGAACAGGCTGCCCAGGGAAGTGGTGGAGTCACCATCCCTGGAGGTATTTAAAAGACGTGCAGATGCGGTGCTTAGAGGCATGGTTTAGTGGGCATGGTGGTATTAGGTCAGCAGTTGGACTTGATCTCAAAGGTCTTTTCCAACCTTATGATTCTATGATTTTAAAATGTTATCTCCATTGACTGCCAAGGATATTGTTTTTAGAACACTAATTTAAAACTAGCTTGTTTAATTTTATTTTTAGGTTTCTGAGCCTCTTAAATGAATTCCGAAAGGAAGATCCTAGCCTTTTTGAAAATGGCACCTTTGGTTTTTATGGAGTGCTGAGTCTTAGTCACACCTAGGAAGAAAAGTGTATACTATGATAGTGCATACAGACCTCAGTTGGGAATTGGTCTACTTATGCCAGTAGCTGTGTCAATACATAAAGGAGATGGGTTTTCCTTCAAAAAATAAACTGATCTGGAAGAAAACTTATGCATTTCCAGGCACTTTAAATTTTGATATCTGTGTTGTCCACGTTCTTGTGGAAACTTTTGCTGCCTGTTTTCAGCAGTAAGAGACAGAAAATACCCAAAATATTAGTTTTGACTGTTCCATTCAATTACATGTTGCGTGTCCGAATTCTCCGTATGGTCTGAAAAAATTGCTAGTTATTACGTCCTTTTCTAAACTAGTTGTGGAGAGTAACTATTTAGCAGCCACTTTCAAACTAATGCTAGTAGTGGTGATGTCTGAATAGTAAATGAAATTGATAAATTGGTGTTCTTTTGGGAAACTATGTTAATAATCTTAAAACACCAAAACAGTAATTTGTAAGTAGTCTCAGTTTTTACATATACAAAATGCATCCTGTATAATTTTATTCAAAAGTTTCAGTAAATGTGGTTATGATCTTTATGAACAAACTTTTTTTTCTTTAATTAGTTACAGAGGTTACGACTGTCGAAGCAATTTATTTTACACTCAGACGGGTGAAATTGTATACCATGTTGCAGCAGTGGGAGTGGTGTACAATCGACAGCAGAACACACAGCGCTTTTATCTAGGTCATGATGATGACATTCTTTGCCTTGCTATTCATCCCTTAAAGGACTATGTGGCAACAGGCCAGGTAGGTTGTGTGTTTATCTGCAATAAGAATCTGAAGTTGTTACTACTGAATTTAGAAAAGCCTATTTTGGAGAAAGAAAGACTAGTCTAGATTTATTCAGGTGAAGGACTGTATTTCTGTTGCAGATGGAATCATGTTAAAAGTCTGCAACATAAGTGTTTTTTCCAATTCTTTATATTAATTCTATTAAGAGCCTTTAGTTGATAGGGTTTTTTGAACATTTTTTGTTTAAGAATAGATTTGTATTTTTTATTCAGCATTATGTTGCTTCTTCTTTATAACAAGTGGGGGAAAAGTGCAATGAAAATAATTTTTCAGGATCTTAGTTGTGAAGTTAGCCATGCTGTTACATATTTGTGGGATTACATAACATGAAGTTAGCAGTTATTACATTCTGGTGTTTCAGTTTTATGCATTATGGTTTCAGTTATCACCTATAGCTAAACTACTCTTCGTACATGCAGCACAGGTAGGTATGTTGCTAAAGTATTTATAGTAGTTCATTTTATCTTTTGCCAGTAATTTTAGGTAGATCTCTTTCACTCATGTTTTTGGACAAATATCTCTTCCTATAAATGTTTATGCACTGGGACTTGAAGGTTTGATTTGATGTTTCAGGGCTTTTGAATTATTGTTATCATTATTATCGTTGTTGTTATACAATGTGAACTGAAATTTTTAATAGAAAGAAACTTTTGCTTATAATGCCCTTGTGTAAAAATGTTTGAGATTAACATAAATTAAGAATAAAATGTGCCTGGATTTACTATATTTTAAAATACCTTATGTTGTCCACAGAAAGATGTACTCCATTGTATACCGCTTTATATATGTGCATTATATACTATTGTATAACTACACTACCTGCAGAAATTGGGTAATGCAGTAATCTAATTCACGCAACACTGCTTCAGATTTGCCTGATAGTGGACACTATGAAAAGCTTTGCAAACATCACATACGAAGTTGGTGGCAAAACCAGAAATAGATCCTAGTTTTCTTGATTCCTGACCCTGGTCTAACACAGGAGAATGTTCTTCTGGTTTTGGAGCCTTTTTTTTTTTTTTTTTTTTTTTGGTACTGAAATTCAAAACCTTTGGAATAGCAAATAATCTTGTAAATATTGACTAGTCGAAAAAAAAAATAAGCTATATTCCATTTCTTACCGTGTTCTAATTACCTGCATTTTTGCCATTCTAGGGGAGATTACTCTATAGGTATCAGTGCATTATAATCTGACTTGTAGGCGCTTGTAATGACACCAGGAAGCAACAGAAGTCTCCTTGATTTCTCAGAGTAGCTTGCATACTAGCAATAAAAATAATCTTTTATTTTTAGACAGGGAATGATTGATAGGGAATTGATGGAATAAATATATCACAGTGCAATCAATGAAGGTCTTTCCCCACGCCCCCAAGAGGACTCTAGTTAATTGTGATTAATGTGCCTAAGTTCTTTGGAGGGAAGAAAGAACCAGTGGTGAGTGGTATTTGTAAAGCAGGAGAAGGAATGAAACACTGCTAGCCGGACAGAAGTAATACAAGGAAAATTTTATCACTGTAAATGTTTTCAAATACTCTGAAGTATTAGTCAGTATTATACTTTTAAACAATTGTTTGAAGTGACTAAGAAATGAAAAAAAAAATGGTATAAATATGTATACTTTCAGGTTGGTCGAGATTCCTCGATACACATTTGGGACACAGAAACAATAAAACCACTCTCAGTATTAAAGGGCTATCACCAGTATGGTGTTTGTGCTGTTGATTTTTCAGGTAATAAGTATTTATTTATTTATTTATTTATATTCACTTTTCCTTTTTTTTGTATGAAAATACAAGCTAATCCATTCTAATGAGCAATTGAGAATTCCTTTACACTGCAGATTTTGCGTTAAAAGTATTCTCCAGTGATCAATGTCAAATGAGAGAGGCTGTCTTAAAGTGATCATTCACTAAAAAAGACTCCTGTGAAGTCTTGCACGTCAGGAAATGCACGAACAGGTTCTGTGCCATTTAATAGCTGAGCTGATCACTTTGGAATTTCTTTGTTGTATGAGGCAGGCACACAGATCTTGAGTGTTGTGTCAGCATTACAACTGTGTGAGCGAATTTTTGAACAAATTCATCAGGTGTGTGCTTTTTAATTTATTTTTTAAATTAAATCCTGCAAACCAATTGAGTAGCACACTGATAAATTCAGAAAGTCAAGTTATGGAGTTCTTCTGGGCTAAAACCCAGCCCCTCTCTCCACCTTATACTAACATAAGAGACTCTGTTAGATCTTCTGAGATTTTTGCACCCCATACATTGAATTCCTGTACCATTGTTAAATTTCCTCTTCTTCACTGGCTTCTATTCATTCTTAATGGTTTGGATATACTAGATAGGATCTCTGACCTCATAGTAAAGATGTGTGATCACAAAGATGGGTAGTTTGGGGTCTTTGTTTCTGACCTTTGTTTGGTTCTCCTTTTTCAAGACATGAATCTCATTTCCCAAATTCTGGCATGGATGCATAGCAATTTCAAAGATGGGTACATGTCAGAAAGTCATTGATCACGAGTGAGCTCAAATAACTTCTTTCTTGGAGGTTAATGTGGGATAATGAGCTTCTTAAAGACTTCGCCTTATTACTAAGTTTAAGGATATTTCATAAACTTTGTGGTATTGCTTCAATGCTTTCCTGTTTAGATATGAACAGGGATTTTCAGACCGAATGGGAAATTCTCACAGTGCAACCCATGATGAAGGTTTTTGTGTGACTGTGTCAGCAGCTAGCTGAACAAAAGATCTGATACAAACACGGAGGATCAAAGTGCGGTTTTTAGACAGGGTGACTTGAAGTCCTAAACTCCATCCAACTGACCACTCAAGTTTAAAAGCAAACACGTGACAGACATGCCTCTAAGCACACGTCATACAATTGTTTACCTCTTTGTACATTCTTCTTATGATATTTGTGAAGTTATAATATTCTTTAATATGGTTTCTTATTATTGCAACGTAATGTTATCTACTCTCTTAATCATAAATTTATTTTTCTAGCGGATGGGAAACGATTGGCTTCTGTTGGGATCGATGACAACCACACTATTGTACTCTGGGATTGGAAGAAAGGAGAAAAGCTTTCAGCAGTAAGGTAGGAATTTAACTTTATTTTTGAAACCTGTACCTAGATTTACTCTCAAATGACAGTAAGCAAAATATATTAATTAAAGAATAATAATTCTCTAATAAATGAACAGTTTCTATCACTTAAGTGATACAGGCGGTAACATTTAGCACAGCCTTAAGACTTTCTTTGAAATAAAAAACTGAAGCTCTGATAGAGTCAACAAGAATTATTACAGTGATAGCTCAATTGGTGAAGAAAGTAGAAGACAAAGTTTGTTTGTTTGATGCATTCTGAAATTATTTCTTTAAAACTTAATCAATGCACTTTATTGGCCTTCTCAGTGATTGTGATGTATGCTTTGCTTTTCGGATGTTTTTCATCATAGGTCATGTCTGTCTTGGGATAGTAGTTTGCAGTTGTTTTGCTAAGTTCTTCAAGGTTCTTTCCTTTTCCTTTCTGAGTCCTGAGCAGCCTGTTCTAACTTTGAAGTTAGCTCTGCTTTGAACAGGAAGTTAGGGTGAATAACCTCTGAAGGTTAAATATTTTGGAAGTTTCTTTGATGCTGCACAGATTTTCATACACGTTTATTAAATAGAGTCTTAATCTAAAGATAGAATCTTATTTCTAATTTTGAGTAATGTTTTTGAAACCTTTGACTTTGTTTCTAAGGATCTATTGCTTCAAATAGAGCAGTAGTGTGAGTGGGTTTTCCCCCACTCTATCTGGATTCAGTATGTATACTCTAAATATTCTAGGTAGGTTTGAAACTTACTTATTCTCTGCAGATAAAATTTAAAGAGTATCAACTTCCTGTTTTTCCATTAAGTTAATTGTTTCTCTTCAATGACATTTACTGTCACTTTCTTTTTAAACAAGTTTTAAGTTTTGTATCCACTGAGGAATGAAAATCTTGAATAGATGATGTAGATAAAGAAGAGTACTCCCTGCCCAGTTATTTCTCAGAAGCCCTGTTAGCTTGGCTTCTCTGAAGACACTGGTTTGGGCCTTTCATTTGTCTGCCTTTTCATGTGATTATTTTTTTTTTATTTTATTTTTTTAATTCACACACACCCACACCCCCGCCCCCCCCCATGTCTTATTTGTTGTTTTTTTTAAAAGTCCCTCCTGTCTGAACCCACCAATCTCACTCTTCTTTTTTTTTTTTTTTTTTTTTTTAATGAAACTTCAACTAGTTTACTGGATTTAGTTTCTGGAGTTTTTTTTTTCCTTCTGCCTACACTCACTTGGTGAGTTTGGAAGGAAAATGGTTTGTACTTTCTGCTATAAGTTCATTTAGTGGTCTGAAAGCAACAGAAGGTAGAAGACTATTGCTATGCTTGAACAGGGAGCAAAAATTAGGGATTAGACGCTCTCCTGCATTTTAAAGAAAAAAACCCCACAAGTAAGCATTTCGTTCCTTGCATATGTAGCAAACATAGTTGAAAGGTGTTTTTGCAAACTGTGGGACTGAAGCAAGGCATTGCTTTTATAGAAGCATAGCAAGAAATCTAAAACTACAGTTTTTAATGTTTTTAGAAACAACCAAAATTTCCATTTAAAATTGATATAGCAGCACATATTTTGTTCTAGCAAGAAAAATAGAAAAATCAGTTAAAAGGTCAATGATAACAGCAGTTTATTTTCAAGACGAGAGACTTTTAAGTAAGGTTTACAACTTTACACCTTTAAGTTTCGTTAAGAGCTGTCAGAGGTCTAAATGCCATATACCTAAACTTAGTGCAAATATTATTCTTTTGCAAAGAAAATGCCACCTAGTGGATTTCTGAAGTAACGTAATTACCCACCCGCTTTGGAAACTCAATGGTAATGAAAATAGAACAGGACTTGGTATTTTAGTTCTTTGGCTTTCTTCCCTCTCATGATAAATTATTGTTAATGATTTGGAAGAAAATGTTTTCAAGATAGAGAAGGTATTAGCAAAAAAACCCAAACTAAAACCTATTTAAAAATATGAATAGTTATATTCCTATTTAAATTTTTTTTGCTTTGCATTTCAGGGGAAGCAAAGACAAGATTTTTGTTGTTAAGATTAATCCTTATATGCCTGATAAATTGATTACAGTTGGAATTAAACACATGAAATTCTGGCGTAGAGCAGGTAAGGAAACTTTTCAGAACTACAGCATTTTCTGTCTTAAAGTGTAAATATTGCATCTCTTATAGTATTTTCATACATTAAAGGCAAATGTTTTCTCTGTATGTCTCTCTAAGTTATAAATAATGTTAATTTGCATTATGGCAGTAGTGGGAATTCTTTTTAGGACCAGTTTGCCATGGAGCTAGAGATAGATAAGTAGAAAGGACCTGGATTTCCTACTGTCTGTTTTTATATCTAATATTAACATAGCACATCTGAAAATGTTACGGAGCTGCTCTAAATCATAGAATAGGTTTTGGAAGAAGGACCTTTAGAACATGTATGTTATAAAGAGGCCCAAATATAAATAAATTTAAGATTATAAAAATACATACAAAAATTCAAAGTACTTGAAGAGCATTCATGTGCCAGTTGAGACCTTTTTGTTTAGACACCTCTGAACTTGGCAATTAAAAAACCAAGGTAAAACAGCTTGCTTTATGATTTGGAAGTAAATGTTCGCAAGATGGAGAAGATATGAGCAAAAAAAACCCCAGCTTGTTTTATCTGCTTGAAAAACTTTGAGTGAAAAATTAATTCCCTGATATTAGTGTGAGCATTCTTTCAAACCTGAAAACGTATATAAAGACACATGTGCTACAGAAGACTAGCTTATCTCCTAAGAATGTTCTAATTATTCATGCAGAATTTACGTACATCAACCGACATAAGTCCCTGATACAGATAATTGTGGGGAGAAAAGTCAGTGATGAAAAAAATGACACTAGTTTTCTCAGTTCTGGCTCCAACGGAAATTAATCAAGATTGCCTGAGAGCAAGCTGTAAAGTCTATATAAATTATTAATTTTAACAATTGTGCTTGTTATCTATAGAAAGAACAAAGTGTATCAGAATATTTACTGAACCAATTACTGTAAATGCTTTAGAAAGAAATCTGTGATAAAAGCCTGGAGATGATGATTTTTGAATGAAATTGTTTAAAATGCCTCTTTTCTCTCTGGCATTGCTCAGTCAGCGGGAATCAAATTTCTCTAATGCTACAGCCCGTCTGTGCGAAACTACAGTGGCACACTGGCAAGGCAGTCACCGTGAAACACACTTAGCAGTGTTAATGTGAGGAGTAGAGCATCAGTGCGCTGTAACAAATGCCAGGTCTCTGAAATCTGTACTAGAGCAGGTGCGCTTCATGTGAGAATTGACACCAAAGTATATGCTTTGGACTAAATTTTCATCAGAGAGGTTCAGAGGCCTTGCCTCTGTAAGTACGAGAACAGTATGAAGTGTCAGATCCTGAGGGGCTTCTGTGTGATACCACATGAAGTTTCTCTGAGGATTGCAAAAATATGAATCTGACTTCCTAGCCAGAAATTACTATGAATTTTAAAACTTATATAGCTGTAACATTTCTATTATGCAGAGGCCAAAATAGCAGACCTCTAAAATAAAGTTAGAAATCGTCTCACTGAAAACTTACCATGAAAAGGATGGGGTTACAAGATTTAAGCTTTTTTTTTTTTCCTTCAAGTTAATTTCATTATGAATTTCTATGAGCTGTGTGAGAAATGTTTTTTGTTTAGGTGAGAGTTTACAAATGCACACTTTCTTTTTCTATGTCTGTGTGGGTCTATGTACATATACAAATCCAGATTCAAGTAGTAAGTTGAAAGTAAGGGGGGTTTTCCTCAAAGATGCCAAATAGTACAAAAATTTCATTTTGTGAGAACTCTTCTGGGCTCAATTTTTTGGGGAGCATGGGTGAACCAGAAGAAAAGGACTCATTGTTCTGAGTGAGGTTGTATAGTTCTTGGAAAATAATTCTAAGCAAACATCTGATGATTTGTTTTTGGTTTGAACCAGGTGGAGGACTCATTGGGAGAAAGGGCTCCGTAGGTGCATTGGGAAGAACAGATACAATGATGTGTGCAGTATATGGCTGGACTGAAGAGATGGTGTTCTCTGGAACTTCCACAGGGGATGTGTGTATTTGGAGAGATGTGTTTCTCATAAAAACTGTCAAAGCACATGATGGTCCTGTGTTCAGCATGCACGCATTGGAAAAAGTAAATAAACTGCTCATTGTTTTTTGATGTCTGGACAAAAAAGTCTATGAAGTTAGACCTTTCCTAAACTCAGGAATCCATGACTTTATTTCCAGAGGTCCAGATTCAAAATAGTATTTTATGCATGTCTCTACCTCTTTATTGTATAGCATGCTGTTTCTCAGACCCTTATGGTCCAGTGACATCTTATTCAGTAATTTTCGCAACCTCTTATTAAAGAAATAATAGTAACTCTGATATGTAAAAGTGCTTTTTGATTTAAGCATCCATAAGTTTAATGGAATATGTGAACTTGTGAGAGAGGAAGAGATCATTCTTACCATTTTGTGCTGTAATTACTGTCTGCTAGTAGAAATATTCAGTCTGTAGATCACTAAGTACTCTCTCCTGATTCTCAACTTCTTTTGATTCAGGAAAGCCTTTAAGTGTGTGCTTAAATGTGAATGAGTGTTCCAGTTAGATTACTTGTGTGCTTGAAGTTATGTATAGGTTTGTGTTTTGCTAGGTTATACCGAGATACTCCACCTTCTAATATTTGAATTTCAATATAGTAGCTTTGGACAAATCATGTGTTATTCATATTGCAAGAACCAAGTGCTCCAAGGGAAAGCACCAGTGACTGCAGTGTTAAGTATACTTGTTGCTTCATTAAATAGCTGTAAATAATTTTTGAAGACAGAATGGCACAAATATGTGTATATTTGAACAATTTAAGCACTAATCAAATTTTTGTGAGTGGTACTAAGTTTGGCTTGGAGTAATGAGGTGAAATGCCAAAAGCATATTGAGGCTAAGTATCAAGAAAAACATTTCAGTGTGTCAGTTGAATTATTTTTCTACTATGGTAGAAGTGTATTGGTTAGAACATCTAAATCCAGCCTGTGTACACGGAGTGCACAGAACTGTGCTGTCTTTGGCAGGAGGAGAATTCAACTGTTTTGTTGCTCTTGATCATTTCACCTCTAACATCTGTAGTTCTATGCATTACAGTGTGGTATATAATCCATTTTCAGTATTGGCAGAAATCACTGAAAAATTAAGGAGATAATAGTTGATTATAACTTGTGGGGTTTTCTAATTATTTTTTTTTAATTTTTTTTTTCCCCCAAGGGATTTGTCACTGGAGGAAAGGATGGAGTAGTAGCTCTCTGGGATGATACCTTTGAACGTTGTCTCAAAACCTATGCCATCAAAAGGGCTGCTTTGGCCCCTGGGTCTAAAGGTAACACAGACTTTGTTCTAATTTTTATTCTGTCTAAAATACTTTCTTTAGAAAACTCTCTTTGGAATTGCTTTCCCCAATAGGATGAAATCAAAGTTTGACATAATGAATACTAAAAATTTTTCTTTTCAAGTTCTATTGTTTCTAAATAAGTAATTTTTCTATTGTGAGGGGGAATGATACGTTGTAGTGTCTGCACATTTGGTAGGAGCAGATCATAACATCTTACCATCTGCCTGAATTAATTGCTTTAACCTTGAGTCTCTTAGCACTCAGGTGATTTTTTGTTTGTTTGTTTGTTTTAAAGTGGCAACCAAAAACCTACTATATTTATAATCATGAAGTATCTTGTCTGATCTTTTTTGTTTTGGACAAGGAGCGAAATTCAGAATTGTGGTTAGTTTCATAAGGTATTAGTACATTTTATGGCTTACTTTTATGTGAATGCATTTGTCTCGAAATTATTTAAGAACATTTTCATTCCTATTATTCCCATTTCTTCCGTTTATTCTTGATCTTACTGCTAATTTACAGGTTTCCTTATTTGACATTCTCAATAGCCTTTTCTCTTCCCCTCACCTTAAAATTACATTTGCTGTGTTCTAATGTATATGGTTTGATTTTTAAAAATCACGAATGGAAACACCCATTAACTAAAACATTCCACTACAGAGTATCTCATTCTCATACCTGTTTAATAAAAAGCTAGATTTGAAGGTACCATAAATGCTAGCAATATAATCATATAGTTGATACTTCACATGCACATTTTTTCACTAAGATTGACAATGAGTCAGGCTGATTAAACTTCAGAGATACTCATTTGAGAAGACAGACTAGTGTCAGTTGGGTAATTGCTAAATAACTCTCAAATTAATCCAAACATATAAGTTCTTCCATGCAGGAGTATGTTTTTACTTGTTTACTACTGAGTATCTTTTTTTACAGTGAGAATGTAACATGCATATGTGTGAAAAATCCTCTTTAAGGCAAACTTGAGAATCTTCTGTCTTCTAACATTTTAACATTCTAGGTCTCCTCTTAGAAGATAATCCTTCTATACGTGCCATATCTTTAGGACATGGTCATATTTTAGTGGGCACAAAGAATGGTGAAATATTGGAGGTGGATAAAAGTGGACCAATAACTCTGCTGGTTCAGGTACATGTTGAATATCAGTCAAATATTCCATAACACAGACACTACTTTCTTTTTCCACTAAAGATTTTTGTGAAAGTTAGCAAGTTACTATCACTTCATAGATTTTTAATGGTAGGCTCGACCATTATGACTTTTTAATGAGCAAAACAGGTCACAGAATTTTATGTACTAATTTGTTCAACAATTTCATCCTTTCAAACAGACCAAGATCCTATTTCTGTTTGGAAGGAAAAAAAAAAAGGTGTGTGAAACAGTGGATCCTCCACCAAATTCCTTATTAAGTTTTTATGAGTACTAGTTACGCTATTTGTAACAGTTGTCTCCTTGAGGTTTATTTTTAGATTTTCTTGGTAATTATATAAAAAACTTTTCAGTTTTCTTTGCCATACCAAACAGACTGCATTTCTTAAGCCTTACTACAAAACAACGTGTAATCATACGATTTTCTTTTATACTTTGATAAAACCTGTGGATCTTTAATTCACACTTCTGAGTGGCCAATGCAATATGTAAAGAACTAGATTTTTTTAAAGAATGTGTTAGAACCTAAGGTAAATTAAAAATCTAGATAGTTAAATGGTTTGAGTTGGAAGGGACCTTTAAAGATCATCTAGGCCGACCTCCCTGCGATGAGCAGGGACCTCTTCAGAGAGGCCAGGTTGCTCAAAGCCCCATGCAACCTGGCCTTGAACACTTCCAGGGAGGGGCGTCTATAGCGTCTCTGGGCAACCTGTTCCAGTGTGTCACTACCCTCACAGTCAACAACTTCTTCCTAATATCTAGTCTAAATTCTCCCCTTTATTTTAAAACTGTTACCCCTTGTCCTATCTCTAAAACATTTGTCCCCATCTTTCTTACAAGCCCCCTTTAAGTATTAAAAGGTCTCCCAGGAGCCTTCTCTTCTCCAGGCTGAACAACCCAACTCTCTCAGCCTGTCGTCATAGCAGAGGTGTTCATCCCTCTGATCATCTTTGTGGCCCTCCTTTGGGCTCAATCCGACAGGTCCACGTCTTGTACTGGGGGCCCTGGGGCTGAGCACCGTGTTCCAGATGGGGTCTCAATAGAGTGGAGGAGAGGGGGAGAATCACCTCCATCGACCTGCTGGCCAGACTTCTTTTAATGCAGCCCAGGATGTGATCTCGCACTTGGCCTTGTTGGACTTCACAAGGTTTGCCCAGACCCACCTTTCCAGCCTGTCTAGGACCCTCTGGATGGCCTCCCTTCCTTCCAGTGTGTTGGCTGCACCACACGGCTTGGTGTTCTTGGCAAACTTGCTGAGGGTGATCCCACTGTCTGTGTCATTGACATAGATGTATGTGAGGATTCTTTCTTGGGGAAAAGTTTTCTCGAGTACTAATTGCTATAATTTCCACTTTGACTGTAAGTAGCAGGGTGAGGTTTTAAGGCGTTCTATGTTTCTATTCAGGTATTTCTTTATTATCCTCTAAAGATACGCATGTTCTCTCTGTGGTTTTTTTTTTTTAACTTCTTTAAATGTCTTATTTCATATTTCAGTTTAAAAAACAAAGTTATCTGATTTGTTGTGGTTTTTTTCAGGGTCACATGGAGGGGGAAGTTTGGGGTCTAGCTACTCATCCTCATTTACCTATTTGTGCCACTGTAAGTGATGACAAAACCTTAAGAATATGGGATTTATCTCCTAGCCATTGTATGTTAGCTGTTCGCAAATTGAAGAAGGGTAAGATGCTTAGTATGAAAAAATATTTAACTGAATTCAGTTGACATTTACTAGTGTTATGAATCTTTCAAAAGCAAGACTAATAAATTCCCTTATTTGCTCAAATTATTTTATCGATGCTATGTTCAGGAGTTATGTAGCCCTTAAGCTAAAGAGTCTGTATGAAAGATTTCTATGTAATATTGTTCTTAAGATTATTTGCAATTCTAACATATTTAAGTCAGTGAATTTACAATAAAAGTTGAGCCAATTACATAAATCTGCCGTATTGCTTATAGTATTGCAAGCTTTTTTCAACAGTTGAGAAATTTCTGGAAGAAATCTGAGAAGTAATGTTGAATTTCTCTTTTTTGTGAACATTGGAAGAATCTGGAATGTCAAGGAAAGAGGACAGTCATAAAATTCTTACTCATGTACTATATAACTAAATTCTGTTTTGACATATGGAAAATCTGTTGTAAGTGAATTCATATAAGGAGACTCTTTTTAGTATCCAACCAGACTGGCCTAACAAGCTTCTAATCATAGATACATTTTGCTAGATAAAGGAATACAATAGACTTTGTCTGCTTGGCATTCAGTAAAGTGTTTTGATCCAAACCTTTTAGGCATGTAAGAAGAGTCATGAACTGGCACAAGCAGGGATTAAAGAAGAACGTTTCAAGTTGTTGACGTCTGCTCAAGTCTTAAAACTGATATTTCTGAATATTTTTAAGACTAGTTTTGGCAGAAAAATAAGGACTGTGATGGCTTAATTTGCTGATGAGACACATTTTGAGATACTTTGGCAATCTTAAAAAGCACCTGTGTACTCTGCAGAAAGAGCTGGATTCTTATGCAGAGTGCAATAATGGAAATAAGATAATATTTGGTAATTAAAAAAGGCAAGACTTGATGCTGTAAGAAAAATGTCTGTGTAGCTAAGGAGCAACTGAGGAGCAGAAGGCTCAGGATGTTCTAGCTGATCGCAGGATGACGTGTGATAGTGAGGTATTTTTCCCAGGGCATACTGAAGTATTTGTGTAATTTACAAGAGACTAATCAGAGTATTTTTGGTGTACACTTCTTATCTGTGTTCAGCTGAAGGCAATTAAACTGAAAGCTGAGTATGGAGAAAGAGGAACTACAGGACAATGAATGAGAAGCTTTGTGTGGAGTCAGCTAAATAAAGGATTACTGTCTTACAAGTTAATCAGAGGAACAAATAGTAGGGAAAAAAGTTTATGGTAATGGAAAATTCTGACATGGAAACAAATAAATAAATTTATATCGGAAATTAAACTACTTTTCATTTGAAACTAGACATGTTTATTGAAAGGGTTATCTGACATAGTGACCATGCTAGGAAATGACTGGATTCTGTGAGTCTAGAAGATCTTTTCCAGCAAACAAGTGGCACCAGATACTAAGAAGGAGAGCCAATTAAAAATATAGAGACAATAGTGATTTGTCTGTATTACTAATATAGAACATGTGTCAATTATTATGCAAATAAATGTAATTGAAGATTCTGGGGTTGTGTACCTGTTGATTTGCCAATAGTTTCTCTGTGCAATCACAGATGTAGAGCTTGGAAATGATCTTGGCAGCATCTAAAAAGTTTCATTAGACTGCAGTAGGAATAACTTTCCTTTACTACTGGAAAAATAAAAGAGGGATTATGCACTGTAAATGTACCTGAATACCATTTCTGTGTTCCTCATAGGAGGTAGATGTTGCTGCTTTTCTCCTGATGGAAAAGCGTTAGCTGTTGGTCTCAATGATGGAAGTTTTTTGATAGTTAATGCAGATACCCTGGAGGATCTAGTCTCTTTCCAGCACAGGAAAGATGTTATTTCAGAGATCCGTTTTTCTCCTGGTAAGTGATTTAAAATGAAGATTTTTATATCAAGGTTGTTGAAGCAAGCTTTATAACCTTTAAAAGATAAAAGTGGTAGAGATCTGTAGTACTTTTACATGTAACAAGTCAGCAAGACTAATAATATTAACATTTTGAAGAATATTGGTTGTGAACTCATTTAAGGATGAGATTATTGGAATAGGTTTGCTCATAGTAACCGCCCTGAATGCAACAGTCAGTTTTAAATCATGAACATCCAGCAGCATCCCTAGGTTCCTAGGGTTCCACTTTGAGCTGCCTAAGTTTGGCTCTTCGCTAAGGTTACTGTTGGCTAGTGAGAATGCTTGAAACTGATGTGCCAGAAAGTTCTGGTGTCTACTTTTTTCTTCTTTTTCCACCTGCAGTGCTTAGTACTCCCAGTGAGGCTAGGTTTTTTTCAAACAGTACAGCTCTTACTTAGGAACTCAAATGTATGGCCTGATCTAATAATACTACTTCAGTGAAAATATTCTTCTGTAGGAGAAATTTGATGCAAATTACTGATACCAGTTCTAATGTTACATTACTTTCTGGTTACCTAAGCCTTACCACTCTCTGAGTGCAAAAAATGTTTAAAGTGTCATCAAACAGTTGTTATTGTTTGAAGATGTAATGGTGTAACAGTTGTATATTTAGTACTGATTTTGATTACATAATATGAACATTAGTGTGTTGGGGAATATGTAAAAATTAGCAAGCTCATTTCAAAGAATTCTGAGTTGCATATAGCTAAATTCCAGAATGTGTTTAATACACAGAGTACTACAATTTTAAACTGTCTTGTGTTTCTACTGATGTTGTTTAGGGGCTGGAAAGTACTTAGCTGTGGCATCCTGTGACAACTTTGTAGATATTTACAATGTAATGAGCAGTAAACGAGTAGGAATCTGCAAGGGAGCCTCCAGCTATATCACGCACATGGACTGGGACGTGAGAGGTAAGTAGCACTCATTCTAAAAGTCTGCTGGAAGATTGATTTCATTATAGAATAAATATAGTACATCTACAGTATGAAGTTGTAGTATCACTGACAGATTTGTTTCTTCAGTTTATGAATATGCTCACAGCATCTGAATAAATATGAAAACATGATTTTTACTGCTATTTGTATATTTAGAAGTTCTGCAATTTGAAATAAAATAATTGTCTCTAGATTGGGTAGGGTTTTTTTTTTTACATCTTCTGTGTTTATTGTTTGACTTCTACTTCTTGAATAATGTACTGCATAATGCAGTTGCATCTGTAGCTCAGAAATATGTATCTTTTGTCAAAAATAGCAGAAAGACTGGATTTCCAATCTTCCTGGGTCTTAATACGTGATTAATTTAAATACTAGCTTTAGTCCTGTTTCATACAAGAACAAGACAGTGCAATCGTGCAATCTTAGTTCCTGCTCTTATTCCTCTACATAATCACTGTTGAAATAGTCCAATTTAATTTGAAAGTATTATATGTTAGCTTCCTCTGAGGATTTTGAAAACAGGAAGAGAACAGAAATATTAATGAGAACTTTACTCAGAAAAGTAGTAGTATAAAGGCAAGCAGAATTCCGCTGCTTGGAAGCAGCCATTGGCCGTACAGCGTATGTGCTTCTCAGTCCCAAGAGCACATGCATACTGTCACAAACAAGCTCTGAATTAGATCCAGTACATTTTGTCTACCATCTGATGGGACAACCATCAACAGGAAAGTAAAGTGTTACGTTATTACAGTTTTCAAAGAGAGGAAGGAAGGAAGGACTGCGAATTTAAGGGGTCAAAGGACTCAGATCTTCAGAATCCCGTACTTCTAGATCCACTGTTTGTGTGTGCAACTTCTTCCAGTGGAAACAAATAATTTGTGTAATGCTGTTGGCAACCAAAATTTCAAAATAAATTTTTTTTTGGTGTGTAAAATGGGGTCTTCTATTTAATGTTAATACACAATATGTAATATATTTTATAGGGAAGCTCTTGCAAGTCAACACTGGTGCTAAAGAGCAGTTGTTTTTTGAAGCTCCTCGTGGGAAAAAACAGACAATTCCTAGTTTGGAGGTGAGGAAATGCACTGCCTTCTTAACTTGTTTGCAGATTAGAGTTACGATACAACTGTCTGTACCAGATAAGAGGGAATGATGTATAAAACTATAATTTAACTGGTCTGTTGAAAAAGCTTCTGTTTAGGCAGTCACTGTCCTTTTTTTTTTTTTTTGCAGCCTGTTCAATTAGATAATGTAATTAGAATGATAAAATACATAGGTGATAGAACATTTGTCTCTTCTGTTAAGAAAAGGACATTTGGCTGACTTAACGCACTCATGAAAATCTCACTGGACTTCTGTATGCCTCGTTTGGTACCTAAACAGCCTTTGAAAACCTGTTGCAGATTACTTAGCCCTAACCTTGCTGTGGAAGTCCTCTTTTCTATCTTTAGGTAGCAATGTATTATAGTATACATAATATACATAGACAAATGTAGTATATTGTAGTTATAATATTGATTTGTTTTCTCAGACATAGAGCATTGTCATAGGGCAGAGAGTGAAAATGGATAATTTTAAAATAATATTTTCTAAGAGATTGAAAAGCAGTGTTGAAAAATGTCGTTTGTTTTCTCTAGCCTGGAAGGGCAGGTAAGGTAAAAATTTTTTAAACATTACTAGAAGTTTTGGAACTGGAAGTTAATAGAGATAAAATAAAGAGTCTCGAATGAAATCCTGAATAGTCCAAAAATAAGTGGTTAATATGTTGAAATACTATCTTTTAGATGTGATGTATCTTTCAGTGCAAGGAATTTTTCTTGAAATCAGATATGGAAGAAAACTGCCTGGGAAGAAGTATGCTCTGTCTCAAACAGGTTGTTTTTGTAGGTAGAAAAGATTGGCTGGGCATCATGGACAAGTGTTTTGGGCTCTTGCTGTGAAGGAATCTGGCCAATAATTGGTGAAGTCACAGATGTAACTTCTTCATGCCTCACTAGTGATAGTAAAGTATTAGCCACAGGAGATGATTTTGGATTTGTGAAACTGTTTCGATACCCTGCTAAAGTAAGTAATTTTCAGCTTTTCGTAGAGAAGAATAATTAATAAAACTGCCTTTTCAAAACTGTGAAAAATCATCACTAGGAACGGAACAGTGCTTTTATACTTTTGTCCTTATGACCAAAGAAGGCATTCAAAATTACACTGCGATTTGCAATGTATTAAACTTTCAGTTAGTAAGAATGACCATTCCAGGTCAGACTAAAGAGCCATCTCATATAGTGTCCTATCACTAACAGTGCCAAATGCATAGGAAAAACTGTAAGAATGGGAACGGACAGGCACTGACTGTCTGATAATATCTTAGGCATTAATATCCTCAGTGTGGTCTTTATCAGTGTCGATTTTAGCCCCTTCAATGAACATTTCTTCCTTGCCTTCATTTCACTCCTGATTTTATAGACCTTCGTTCTGTCCAACCTCCATCATTTTTCTCTAAGATGAAGAGCTTTAATATTATTTATTCGTGCATCACAGAAAAGCTGTTCCAGAAGCACGCTGAATTTTTATGGCTCTTCTAGAACCTTTCTAGTTTTCCTGTATATTTATCAGCAGATACGTCTTCAGTCTTGAGTATTTTCCCATGCTAGGGATGGTGATGATGCACAAGTATTGACTCAAAATTTTTGATATGTATTTTATTCTTAATCGGTTAGATTATTTTCACTGTTAGGAAAAATGATCCAGTGTTTGTTGCTGGAATCTGTTTATAAACAAGTTCTTGCATGCTTGGTATGCAAATACGTTTAACATTTCATGAAGTTGCTACAGGAGAGGAACTCGGCAAATCGTGTGATACAAATGCGAACAGCTGAAGCATAAACTGTAAAGAACAACATGTTGTTGTGCCCTGGCAACTCATATCAGTTCTGTCTAGAAGACTGGTTGAATTTGATCTGTGCCTTTTCTTCTCCCTTCTTAGGGAAAGTTTGGGAAATTTAAGAGGTATGTTGCTCACAGTACCCATGTAACGAATGTCCGTTGGACCTATGACGACAGTTTGTTGGTGACTGTTGGAGGAGCAGACACCTCTTTAATGCTGTGGACTTATGAGATGGAAGGACATCGGGACAGCAGGCAGTGTGACAGTGAAGAGTCTGATCTAGATTCTGAAGAAGATGGAGGTCAGTAATAATTTATAAAACTAGCTGGATTATGCTATCTCAAGAAGACTTTGTTAATGGAAAACTGCTAATTTAGGAGTAAGTTTTATATATGATTGTTTTAATCTGAAATGGTGAAGATGCTTCAAAAACGTTTAGTAAAATTTCTTTTTGGGGAAAGGGCAGATAAACTGTTGTGAAGAAAAAGAATAAAGTGTTTGACTTACTGCTTTGAGTCAGAGTATATAAAAAGACTCTTGACATCTTTTAAATGAAAAAAATATTAAGTGCCAGTTACAGGTAACTTCCAAAAATCTATATAGACAAATACATTCATCACAGTTTAGATTTGGGCACTAGTTCTCATGGAATTACGTTGAAATCTGTATAATGTGAGAACATAGTTATCTTGATATTATGCATCTCTTTCTGTAACATCAAAGCATAGTAGACTGAGATAGACTGATATTCACATATGGAACAATTATTGCAAGATCATAATACCAATAGTTATAAAGAGTTAATTACAATTCGTAGAATTAATTCTGTTGGTTTTGCCGTACTTAATGTTTTCCTTTTTCATGTTGTTATTCACAAGGTTCGTGAGCCTCCAGATATGTTCTTTCCGCTCCCAAGTGCAGTTTTTCCTCCTTGTCAATTCCTCAGTCTTTGAGTGTTCTTAAATATGGCTGCTACTCTTTAAACAGTTCTGCATAATAAATTAACTTCAGTTTTCACTGAAAATTACCAAAGAGACACTTTAGAGGCATATTAAACATTCATTGGAGAATGATTTTTATGCGCTTTCTGATTAAAACTATTGAAGACTGCATCTGCAAAGTAATTTAATTGCCTGTAGGGGGACTTGGTCAACTTTAGCTTTCTGAATCAAAAAATTCCAGTCTTCAGAGTTTTTGTTCAGCTTCTATGTGTCACCTGTTAGCACATCTTTGCCCAAACCTTCCCTCGACTCTGGTGCTTTACACACAACCCTCTTAAGCTATGTGTTCAAAAATACCCCAAAAGAAAGAGAGGTCTGTTAAGCTTTACGTGAAAAGGCATTGACATCGTTTTCCGCAAAGGTTTCTCTTCACCCGGTCCTATTAGTTTCAGTTAGAGTTAAGAGCTATTCATAAAGTTGGAATTAGTAGGGGAGGAAGGTAGATAGGTAGCTAACAACCCTGTCACTATTTAGCTGTTTTGCCAGGTTTACTATAGTAAACATCATCTTGATGTGCCTGAGTGTTCCTAAGCATTGTGTAGGAACCCTGTGCAGACCTATAGATTCCATCCTAATGGATGGATCCTGAATTTGAGAACAACCTGGTGCTGAACCTTCCAGAACTTAACAGCAGGTATCATGTAGCAAGGTCCTTTGTTAGTTACCCCGAGTTAAGGCCAACCAAGAAGAAATGAGGTAGATTTGAGTGTCCCTTGAATCTTTGTAATCATTTTTTCCACAGAGATATTAACAATGTTCATGATCCCCAGCTACTTTCTGTTGTGTGTTTGTCTTGCTAATAGTACATGGTGTAATTGTTCTTGTAGTCCAGTATGTTGTTGAAACCTGCGCAAATTATGGTGTAAATTTTTTCTGGTATTTTATTTTGTTTTGATACTGTTCATTCTGATTTTGTTAGGTTATGACAGTGATGTGACAAGGGAAAATGAAATTAATTACACCATCAAAGCCTTATCAACAAACATTAGACCAATGTTTGGAATTAAGCCTCATCTGCAACAAAAGGAGCCAACCTTAGATGAAAGGTAATTGCTCAATTACAATTCTAGCCAAGAAAGCAGTCTGAAAAGATGATTAATAGTAAAACATAATTATATTGGAATACATATAAAACTCAAAAGGATTTGTGTAAAAAAGAGTGAAAATATTTCTTTGGAGGGGAAAAAAAACAACTTAAGAAAAGCTTTGTCTAGGGACTAGGTTGTAGCTCTTTTTCAGAGAGCACAAAAGACTACAAATGATGTATGTATATTATTATGTTTGGGGAGTTTATTGAGATAATTGAGTTGTTCAATAATAAGGTCTTTTTGAAACTTAAATACCTAGTGGTATCTGGTGATGGCATTGTCGGTGTGAACCTGTGCAACTGTTTTATTGAAAGGCAGCTCTTGATTTTTTGTTTTTGCCAACAAAGTAATCTGACTAATACAGCTGTAATTGCTCCTTGCATTGTTTCTGTCTCTAGGTAACTTCTACCTTTCTTTGAAAAATCCTGTCCACAGTGGTTCTGCAGTTTCTATTAATGAGTCTTCGAAAACGAAGCTGATTGCTCTGCAGTGTGGTTGTATTGCTTGGTTCACTGTCGTATGCTTTAGAAGAGAAGGGAGTGGGGAGCAGAGTAGAATAAGGCCAGGAGGTAAAGTAGATGTGAAATAAGAAAAATATTTTACAACCACTAGAACATGATCTGTTGTAGAATCTGCAGATGAGCACAGGACCCTGAAAGTTGTTTGTTGTCAGCAAAATAGATGTGGACAGTGTATGCAAGGGAAAAGGAAAGAGGGATTCCTGACACAATACAGCAGCAATTGAGGAATGCTGGTATTAAAGAGAGGGAAGTGAGGAAAACACAACAGAGTATAATTAGGTGTAAGGATATAGAGAAATAGTTAGATTGGAAAATTCCTGCAGGTATGTGAGGAGTTCTGTTACAATGCACATGCCTCTTTCTGCAGCAAAGCTGACATATCTGTGATGCCCTTCTTGAGAAATGCAACCTGATGTTTGTGGGAGTTTTGGTGTTATCTTTTGATTTGAAGTTGTGTTGCTGAAGGAGAGAATGGATGACTGCATATAAAGCTGTGGCTTCCTGTCTTTCATTTAAAATGAGAAATGGTTGTTCTGTTTATTAATTAGATGTACTTGATGTGTAAATCAAAAGTAAACAACATGCGTAGTATCAGCCTTCTGGATTTATATGTATTCTTGTTAATGAAAGCTGTGATTAAAGGTGCTTGGGTTTTTTTATGAAATTGTAAACGTATTTCTTTCAATAATTGTTTTTGGAAGGTGAGTGTTTCAGCATTTCAGTTTCAAATAAAATATTAAAGAAAATTAATTCTGTAGTAAGGTAACTAGGTTCTGATTCAGAATGTGTTAAAGTTCATGAAAGAATTCCATTGCCTGCATTGTTTAAAAGTTCGGAGCCCTAAAACTTCAAAGAAAAGTTATGAAGAATAAAACCAGAATATGGTTGCATTTTAACTTCTGTTCTGCTGAAGTTAATAACGTTTAAGATTGATAAGTGTTTTAGTAAGTCTGTCGTCATATATACTAATTTTTATTTTATTTTTATTTCCCTTTCCTTTTGCTTCATATGAAGGCAGGGGGTAGTGAGGTAAGTTCATTTACATGAAGTCCAGGATCAAACTAATTTTAATAACAAGGTGCTTGGGAAAGTTGTTATACTTTGAAATAAAAGTGAAGGCTTTAGCTCTTTGCTATTAAATAGTAGCTTGTTAATGGGCAGAAAAGGGATCAGGGACAAAGAGTAAGCCCAGTTCTCAGTCTGAGTAGACATGAGTGGGTGCTAAATAGAGTATTTGGGAGGAGGTGATCAAATCTTATCCTGTTTTCCTCAGTACTTTGGAGTAGCAAAGGAACAGCTTGTCTTGAGTGGCTGTATTCAGAGAGCTCGCCTAACTTCTTGTGGGTTTCTGTAAGACTGTATCACAGTGTTGGTGTAGAGTTCTGACATGGAATGAAAAGTGTAGGGAGCATGTTGCAAAGGTGCCTGAAGTGGCTATACGAGCACTATCACCACATCTGCACCGCTGTGTTGGAGCTAATAAAGCTTCAGGGACTAGAGTAGTGGTATTGACTTGGCTGCAGCATTTTACCAATGCACCTATACTGCTTAAGGATCTGAGCTGCTAGGTCCATATAGCATTCATATGACTTGCAGAGTCACTGGCTTAGGTGCCTGCATTAGGTACTGAGCTTTTGCACATACACTGTTTAGAATATATTCATGCTCAAAACAATGCTCTTATATGCTGTAGCCCACCCTTCAGACTCGTAGACTGAACTGACAGGGCACTTGGACATACACTGGTTGAGAAAGGAGAACCCTTCGTTCCTACCTGCACCCTGTTTCCACAATGAAATCACATCCTTGTGGTGACAGATGATAGAATTCTATTGGTAGCTGTGTATCCTTCTGCAGGCAACTTGACGTAATCAAGAAAGCCACTGTCTTCATCTAAATTTTGGATCATACCACTAGCAATCTTTATCAAATTAGTTCTAGTTTTAGGCTTTTAAAAAAATGTGTATCTGTAAAGTCAGTGTTTCTGTATAAGTTATACAGAGTGTGTGTAAGTTATACAGACTTTTCTTCTGCGTTTGTTCATTTGTAGGGTATTTGGGTGTACTGCTGTGGTGGGTTGTCCCTGGCTGGACCCCAGGTGCCCACCAAAGCCTGCTCAATCACTCCCACTTCTCAGCCGGATGCGGGGGAGGAAATATTAACAGAAGGCTCGTGGGTCGAGATAAGGACAGGGAGATCACTCAGCAGTTACTGTAATGGGCAAAACAGACTTGACTTGGGGAAAATTAATTTCATTTATTACCAATCAAATCAGAGCAGGAAAATAAGAAACAAAAGCTAAATCTTAAGACACTTTCCCCCTACCCTTCCCTTCTTCCCAGGCTCAACTTTATTCACAATTTCTTTACCTCCTCCCCCTGCAGCAGGGGGAATGCAGGGGGATGGGGAATTGGAATTGCGGTCACTTCATCACAAGTTGTCTCTCCTTCATCCTCAGGGGGAGGACTCCTCACACTCTTCCTCCGTTCCAGCACAGGGTCAGTCTCCCACGGGAGACAGTTCTCCACAAACTTCTCCAATGTGAGTCCTTCCTACAGGCTGCAGATCTTCATGAACTGCTCCACTGTGGTTCCCTTCCACGGGGTGCAGCCCTTCAGGAGCAGGGGTAGGTCCCCCACAGGGTCACAAGTCCTGTCAGTAAATCTGCTCCCTTGTGGCCTTCTTTCTCTCCATGGGTCCTGCCAGGAGCCTGCTACAGTGCAGGCTTCCCACAGGGTCACAGCCTCCTTTGGACATCCACTTGCTCCAGCTTGGGGTCCTGCATGGGCTGCAGGTGGATATCTCTTCCACCATGGACCTCCATGGGCTGCAGGGGCACAGCCTGCCTCACCATGGTCTTCACCACAGGCTGAAGGGGAATTTCTGCTCTCGTGCCTGGAGTACTTCCTCTACCTCCTTCTTCACTGACCTTGGTGTCTGCAGAGTTGTTTCTCTCACGTATTCTCACTCCTCTGGGTGCTGTTGTCCAGGTTTTTTCCCCCTGTCTTAAATATGTTGTCCCAGAAGTGCTACCGCAGTTGCTGATGGCCTCGGACTTGACCAGTGGTGGGTTATTCTTGGAGCTGGCTGGCACTGGCTCTGTGGGACATAGGGGAAGCTTGTAGCAGCTTCTCACAGAAGCCACTCCTGTAGCCCCACCCACCCCCTCTACCAAAACCTTGCCATTCAAACCCAACACAACTGGTTAGAGTGTGGGTGGTACATCGTTGGCATTCCATGTTATGTGTAGGCTTATATATTGACTGCCAAACATTAGAAGACATACATTGTAGTAACACTTCATTAGAATCCTTGCATTCCTGGGATCACAGGTACACACCAGTATAGAATGTGCTTCTGAGAATGTCTTTCAAGTAATTTTGAGTTTGTGTATAGAGATTCTATATCAGAAAGTATCTGAACCTTTTTTACTATTGAGTGTAGGAAGAATTTAATTCTTTATTGGAGAAGATGGAGATAATACTACCAGATAATTAAACTCTAAGGCTGTGTATAAAGACTTTAAAGACCTTATCAAAAACGTAGTTACTACTTAAGATTGTTGTACCTGACAGCTGAAGAGGAATTTTACTACCTAGGAAGTTCAAGAAGAAGGAAATTCACACTACCTAGCTGAGTAGTGAAGTTCCCTCTACATAGAAGGAATATGATTTTTAGTGTCCAGGGTGTTAAATGGAATAAACAATAGGGGAACACTAAAGGAAGAAGCATATCTGAAATCTCATCTGTTTCCTACTTCTGACTCACAAAAGCACATTTATGAGGCCAGGAGTTGTAATCCAAGTTGCTGACCTGGATTTAGAGTCAGAAATTACTCAACTGGGTACGAAAATTGATTCACTGACATTATTTTGATTCTAATATTAGTAGAAAGGTTAAGTTTTATGTTGTAAGTAGTAGGATGACATAGGAAATCAGAGTTTTAGGCCATTTAGTCTATCAAAAATTGAAATACACATCACCAGGTGGGTCAAAACAGTGTCACTCCTTTTTGCTAAAGCTCTGTAGAAAGGAATGAAAGAATCTGTAGGGTCAGAAAGAGAGAATATGCAAGAGAGGCTGCAAAACACTGCAGTCTGCTGGGTAGGTGACTTTTATGTGAAATATGGAACGTGGGATTCTGCTTTTGGTGTAGCATAGTAGTTTTCTTCCAGTGACCCTTAATTCAAACTGTAAATGAAATTCCCAGAACATGAATCTGAACAAAAGATTATTTTTACTTTCCAACAGAGGTAGTGTCCTGTTCTCAATTTTCTGGTTTTGCTCATAAATTGCTTTTTTTTTTTTTACCTTGCAATAGCAGAAGTTAAAAAAAAAAAAAAAAAAAGTTTTCCGCTTCACAACAGCACTGGACATTTCTGTGTCTGAATCATTTTTATGGCTAACACATTAACTTGAGATGTGACTTGCATCAACGCATGCTTCTAGGCAGCACTGCCTTTTT